GTCAGCTATTTAAGAGCGCTTCGAGTTACTCAAGCAGCACACACGCAAGTTATCAATGAAGAAATGAGAGGCGATATTGGCGAGGGAATGTCGCCCACCGACGGGATTATCACGGAAACGCTAATTTAGACCGTTATAGATTTACGAAGATTTACAGATTTACAAGGTTCTTTGATAAATGATAAAGAGGATTTAGCTTTCACTGAGCACCGTTAAGAGACATTATCCCTGTATTCCAATAATTTTGAATATGAAATCTATCGTTTTATCATGCAGTGTTCATGGCAAACACATCCGCTGCCCCTTTTAATATTGTTGTTCATTTTGATCTTATATTTATTAATCATAATAATTTAATAATAATTATTAAGTCTACTGTTTCAGTTCAGGACACAATACAATCAGATAAAAGGTGCTTTTTTAGAGTTTATAGTAATTTTATCTCAGAAAACTTTGAATCTGCTGCCTTGATAGGAATGGCGTGTTTTTGATATGCAGTGCCAGTAGTGTAGTATGTAAATCACCTGATCACCAATCATAATTAATGATAATATGACACCCTTCTTAATTTTAAGTTTTAGTGCTTCAGATTACACAGTTAAACTCGTAATTCTTGTGACATACGTCAGTTTTAAAGTATTGTAATTAAAGAGTGTTGATACTGTGACCTGTGCATTTTAGCGAGTGCCCTCATGATAAGCGTCAATTATTGTTTGTGCTTTGATTAACTTTATTGCTATCCATATATCCCTGTAATAGATTGTTTATGTCATTCTTTTGACGTATTCTTATACATTCTTATGTAGTATGTACATGTTATATAGAATTTATTTTTAATAATTTGTCTATGTCTTAGTATTATTTTGTTGTTCTGTTCGAAAAGAAATTGATACTGCTCGTGGAACTGGGCCCTTCCAATTGAAATAAAATTACATCATACTAGTTACTACTGTGTTCAATTAGGTCTCCAAACTCTGAAACTCATACATCATAGCAGAAAACACGTCTTTTTTGCCTGTAAGTGTAAGAGCCTTTACTAATTATCCGTTCATGAAACTCATACTTTGAGCGAGGCTGTGAGTCATGAATAATTGATAATGAATCATTTTGACAGATGTATAGGTCACGTGCCAACGTATTCACTGCTCTGAGACCCTTTACAGTTACATGTTGAGTTTTAGTGTGGCCTTAAGCTGACCAGCCGCTGTTTTTTGTTATTAGCCTGATATGGCTTACCTGGGGACCTCAGGCTATCTAATCATGTTTACAAACAGATTAGGCGGAATGACAGGCTGAGCGCGGCCCAGTAAGATATGGCCGAAGATACTTGTTTTTATCCCGCCGTGAAACCCAATGTCGTTACACTAAGTGTCACTAGGTGTCACTGTCACTAAGTGTCACTAAGTGTCACTAAGTGTCACTAGTATCCTTCCAAAAGCCACGAACAGCCGTGCACTCGTGCACGGCAGGTTTAGTTCTACTGTCAAAATGCAAAACGTATATTATGACAAAATTGCATTTGTTGCCGTACATGTCGTGATAAATACTAAATCTAACAGTTCCAATACAAGGAAATATAACTATAATCGTCCAAAAAACACAACTTACTCTGGAAATCAAATACTTTAAAACACTAGAAAGTAGAAATTCAAATACAAAATACCTCTTTTTGCGCGCGGCTTTATATATTTATATTAGTATGATTTTAACATTAGAATTAGCGTAAAATTATACGTGAATCAAATCAAGCATATATAAATATAATATTAATATGCGCAGCTCGTGAAATAATTACTGTCAGCCTGTCATTCCGCCTAATCTCTATTGATAGCCTGAGGTCCCCAGGTTCACATAGCCATGTGCCTACGCGTACTGCGTGACGCGCTTGTTTCAAGCGGTCGCGCGCTACTGCAAGCGAGAGGGCTCTGGTTAGAGCAAGTCCCCAGGTAAGTGAAATAACTGAGTCTGAGATAATCGAACCCGGTCTTCGCCTCTTTTACTGAGCCGCGCTCAGCCTGTCATTCCGCCTAATCTCTATTCTATGTTTATGAACATGGTCATGATAGCTTGAGGTCCCCCCCCTTGGAGGACTTCGCCGCTTCGACGCGCCGCGCAAACTAGCATTCTTGCTTCGCAGATGGCAGAGCAACGATCTGGAAGGGTTGACATTTACCAACAACATACTGGAAGGGTTGACATTGTCAATCAACCCCCCCTCCGTAATCAGTTTTACACATAGCTATTAGTATTGTGTCAAAATTATACTAGCGTAATTATTCGGAACCCCGGCCTCCCTCGATCTAGCTCAGCTGATTACGTAATATGTGAACAACCCCTTACTTTACTAGCTGGGCGGCGCTCAGCCTGTTATGTCATTCCACCGAATCTCTATTCTTTATGTTTATGATCATTATACTTATTAAATCTGGGGTCCCCAGGTTGACCATTGTTAATGGTCTGGCCCGGCGCGCGCTACTTCGTAGCACCTGCCGTCGAGAAGAAAGCGGCGTGCGCTACTTCGAAGAAATTTAGACGAGTAACATCCGTCAAGTCCCCAGGTAAATATTGTTATTGTTAACAAGGCTCTGAACTCAAGTTTCAACATTCAGTGTTAGTAAGGCTAAGCTACGTGTCACAGGGGGACTATAGTACATAGGAACTGCTGCTAACTGCTGCCGCTCCTACATGACTGCTGCTGCTGTCGCATTGTTAGCAGCAGTCAGCAGCAGTTTGTTTGCACTAATAATAATAGTCCCCCTGTGGTGTGGGATGTAAGAGCCATGCGTTTCAACCTACAGAGCCTAATGACTACGGAGTACGGAGCCACTATACTAATTAGCACTGTATTAAATTAGAAGCAATGTAGATTGTAGCGTTTGAGTGCTGTATCACTATCATGTATCAGTATACTAATACAGTGCATTCTGATGAACGAATCTCATGTGGTTCAAACTATACTTTAGAACGTATTAGTGTTGCATAATTGACATCACTTTTGTAAAGGACTTCTGCATGATTAACTTCAAAGTGAATCATTTTACTTTTAGCAGCTTTCCTATTTGCTTAGTATAGTGGATGGTCAGTCATTTTTTCAGTTTCAATTTAAAATTAAAATTTGTCTCATCTCTACCTTTTAGTTTTATTTGCCAGCCAATATTAGCGTTGTTTGATAGATCCGACCATCATACCTTGAAAGTATTTAACTTAATGAAAGTTCAAAGTTTGAAACTAGACTTATAAAAAATACAAACTTATTTTTCTTTATAAGTTTGTCTTTGGTATGTTTCAAGTATCTAAATCTGCAACGACAAATGAATGAACACGGTTAATGTGCTGATCCTGATAATAATATTAACCACCATCCTTGATTTAAAACATATTTGGCTTTGCTACAATGTCTAATATCCTTGATAAAACTAATGTAAAAGCATATATATGTTCCAGGCATGTCAATATCCCGTTTAACCACACTATCTTTACTGTTCGTTGAACCAGTTTCCTGCGAATCAGTCAGAAGATTCCAAACTGAGTTTGCAGTCAGCACGGCTATAGCTATATTCTTGCTCTTCACCACTCTTTTCTTCTTTTACAAGTGGATCAAAGCTTACAGGTAGGAACAAGCTGGAACAGTTTATCATATATTGGATAATTCGATTTTGAGTCCAGAAAATTGTTCAATATATGTCGTTTGTCAAGATAATAAAATGTATTACTTATTGTTTTATATTAAGTTAATCTTTAAATGTGATTTTTTATAATGCTATTGTTTTAAAATAATCATATTGCCAACAGGTCGATGAGGAGAGCTAAAAATAACTATGCAAAGGAAAAAACTAGAGCTGATAAATTGGAAGGGGAGACAAGCTCACTGGAGAGATTAACTTAAATTTGTTGCGTTTGGTCCTTTGATCGGCTGCAGTTGACAACTCTTTATTATATATCGATCAGAACTTTCTAGCTATATACTTAAAGCTTTAGCTATAAGTATAACGAAGATTTATTTAATTTCCGTTCAGAATTATACGCACAAATCAGAACATTATGTAATATGGGAAACAAAATGCAAAATATTAAACAATTTTTAACCCCCCCCCCTCCGTAATCAGTTTTACACGATAGCTATACTATTGTGTAAAAAAAAATTAAATTACACTAGCGTTATCATTTGGAAACCCCCCTCCCCTCAGCTGATTACGTAATATGTGAACGACCCCTTATATATTATATCGAAGTATACGAACTATGAACTAAAAATGTAAATGAGACGGTTTGATCAGGCATTACATCCTGTTGTTCCGTATCAAGATTTTTGTGCAATATTCGCAGTACTCAAGTGAAGAACATGTCAACATTTAAATGATTCTTGTTTCAACGATTCTTACCACCTTGTCTAAATTAGATTTTAAATTTATAAAGCAACCGCCAAAGTCCAAACGGCACATGCTGATCCAGCTTAATTAAGATTCGCGCACTTAACACCGAACTTAACACCGAATGTTAACCCATTCATAAAAAGCAATCAATCAAATCTAGATCAGCATGGCAATGACATAGGCATGAGCATGTTTTATTGCTCGCTGCACCGCGCCAACTGATGTCTATTACACGAATGTGATAGTCGTATTGTTTATTTTACATTTTTAAATGCTGTTTTATCATGGAAAATTACAAATAATATCTTTGAGTTTGGGCCACAGCCCAGCACTTTGCCCTATCATAATATTAATGAACTTTCTCATTCTGTGATTGTTTTAAAAGCAATTTTATAATTATTTCATGATTTGAAATTGTATATTGTTTTCACTAACAAAATATGGATACTCCTAGTGTCGGGGAGGTGTATAAATCAATACTCTTCCATCATTGATTGATCGTATTGACCAATCTGAACCCAACATCACTGCCATACGTACCATACCTTGCCTCAAAACAAATATATTTCAATTTGGATACGCACTGTTTCGTCTTCAAATTATTGGGGAACTAAGTAAAATAATATGTTATAAAGCAGCGATAAAATAATTATTACTGGTGAACATTTTTCAACTATTAAAATAGTTCTGAGAAAGAAGATTGAAATAAACTTTAACTATTTTAGGTCTTTAAAAGTTGGGTAAATCTAAGTTAAATGACGTGCAAGATGTTACTTGGAAAACGCCAGTATGAATTATGAAATCGTGACGAAAATATTTCAAACATGAAATATTACCAAAACTTTTGTTCTAGTAAATATATATTCCTCTAAATTAAAATACAGTTTAGCAAATATTGTTCTTAGTAAAAATAGCCTGTTTAACAAGGTAACACTAAATTGCAATAGTTTTGTTCGCACTACATAACAGCTTGTTAATCATTAATAAACAATGTATGTTACTGCTGACGCTGCTGGAAAATATAATACAACTCGAAATAATAGCCGTATTAATAAAGGGATCTTTCACATATTATAAAGCCAGTCTAGGAAAGATGGTTTGGAAAAGTCTAATGAGTGAAGTGGCTGAATGGGTCTGAAAAGGTCACAATCTGGCTTACGGGGTTAGGTGAAGAAGTCTGAAAAGGTCATAATCTAGCTTACTCAATATGTGGTAGATCCCTAAATAGGTTGGCAAAGTTGCAGGGAATCACAATCAAATAACAAGTAGTCTACCAAATGATGTGATTAAAAGATAAATAGTTTCCTCATCGAAATAGCATTTCAATGTCAGAATATAACCGAAAACATGCTAAATTTGCTAATTATCCATAATATTTAACATAGAATATTAAATAGAACATAAGTAATAAAATGTCTTCTTGGCCTTCAATTTGGAACCAAATTCCGGAACAATACGCCCGGATAGTGATCGGGAGGTGAACCATACTTGATTTGACACGTGACATTGTTTCTAGGATTAAATTGCTCGATGCTACATGCCAATTGGTTATTCGCTATCACGTGTCAGATAAATATAGCACCCCTCCCGCCAGTAACCGGAGCAAGTACGTTATCAGTCACTCTGTTTTATGTTAGAGGTATTTAACCTCTGCCTCGTAGTCGTTGAGCAAGATGGATGTCACGTGGCATGATTGTGACACGTTTAGCATGGATAGCACACAGGTTGGTATCCTCAAACAGTCCCACCAGATACGCCTCTGCAGCCTCCTGAAAACATATCCTTGTGTTTGAAAAATATCCAATGTATTTTCTTGTTTTTTAGAACTTTTGATGATCTAGACTAAAACAAGCTCCCAGGATGAACCATTGGAACCTTACATACAGTAGATTAGTAATTAATGATAAGAATAATAACCTGCAGAGCGCCGACAGCCCCAACTTGCACTCTCATCTGACTGGGACCCTGCTTCACCTCGTTAATCACCTCCCTCATCAGCCTCAAGAAAGGAGATCGTGGGATCAACAGCTCCGTAGACTTCTGGAACCTTCTGATCTCACGCAGAGCTACCGTACCGGGCCTGAAACCACGTGACAGGGTGAAACCACGTGACAGGGTGAAAACACGTGACATGGTGAAACCACGTGACAGGGTTAAACCACGTGACAGGGTTAAACCACGTGACAGGGTTAAACCACGTGACATGAGTGAAACCACTTACTTATATTAGTACGGTAAACACGTGGTTTTGATAGGAAGTGAATGATGATTTTGTAGGTTTAAACATAAAGTATTCCTTACGTTCAACTATTAAGTAAAATGTCAAAATAAAGCCAAAAAACAAGATAAAACAGGGTGTTATAACTTATAAGGGCACAGCACGTGCCATGATGTCCTTACAAGGGTGTACTCACCTCCATCTGTGCTTCTTCTTGACTCCGGCTACCTCCCCCTTGCTCTTTCCTTTTCTGGTCTTCGTCCCTACATTCTTGCCTAGTTATTTTTAATGATAGTACTAACAAATTCAATAAATATTTGATAAATAAACACTCAGCGCTGCACACCATACACATACAGATCTACACGAGCGATAATATCGACAAAATCAGATACCTACTAATAAGATAATTAAAAAATAAACAATGTGTATATATTTACCTCTCTTAGCCTCCAAGATCCGTGCCCGGTCTATCTTTCCTCCAGTACTCTTTCGAGCGGTCTGTTTAGTTCTTGCCATACTTAACATAAAGTTTAGAGGTTAGTTCTCAAAATCAGGATTTATAACAAGGAATGTATCATGTAATTACTGATCTGACGTTGCATCTTTAATTAAAATAACAACCAATTAATGGTTATGACTTTATTTCGTAATCGTATTCTTTAATTTGATAAAGGATGGAACAAGCTTTTAACAATACTCTCAAATGAAGGGACAGAGGTATTGTAAGTGAAAGAATATAATTATCTATATAGTAATAACTCTGACTCAAGAAGTGACCAATTATACCCAGTCAAAACATAACTACATAAATATTCCAGAATACTCCAGAACAATGTAGAACATCTCAATTCTAGAATTCACTTAAAAACAAAAAATTAGCCTTAGAGACGAAATTAGTAAATAGACCATCTTCAGTTTGAGAAACAATCAGAGTTTAAGAAATTTCTTAAATTTCAATCGGTAAATCTAAAATCACGTGAAATGAACGATGCTTGCTACTAGCATTATTAACAATGTTTTGAACAGCCATTAGCTGCCCAACCAGCTTCACATAATCAGGCCATTCCCAGGAATGTCCCATATATATTTGAAAAAAAGAAAATATTCGCATCTACGTAGATTACAGTATCTACATTCTACAGCTATGTTCGGTCATATTTAACACATTTAATAAATGCACCAGGCCATGTAACAGAAGACAATTGATCTAACTAAACATAACGTTAACCAATCTGCCCTACACACGATAGGTGTCGTTAATGATAACAAGCCACTCAACTTTATGTATCAGATACTTATCATGATTCAAACACAAGGAAATATTTTCATGAGGGCTTTATCCATAAATATAAGTTTTTAGAAGTAACTAACTAGATGTAATTACTGTTAAAAAAACAAGTAGGCATCTCCTTCATTAACAACATCTACCGTTCTACGTTGTCCCGCTATTATACAATTAGTAATGATACAACCTAGGTACTTTTTCTGCGGATAATCAGCTTTAAGTTAAAATTAAACATTCGGAAATTTTTAGGAGTAGATAAATGGACAACTTCATGCAGGCTGAAAAGAATTTTTTCTCTTAGTCTCAATAACATCAACAGCTTATTAGTGACATACCTCTAATCACATGATTGATAAAAAACTTCTGATTGGCTTATTAAGTAATAAGATGACAGTTTGGAAGCACCTGATTGGCTTAATTATAATGCCAGGTTTCAGTCAAGAAGCCGTGTGAATGGTTGGCTAATAAAATTAGAATTTGACATACCACAGAAAAGTTTCTAATACTAGGTAAACTCAATAGTAAAATGGCACAGTTTGGGTAACAAAGTAGCAACCAAATGGTTACTAAATGGTTACTAAATGGTTACTAAGTGGTTACAAAGTGGTTACCAATAGTTTGACTATGAACAAATTGCCGTGTGACCTCCGCAGGAGTCATGCGTGAGAAATAAAAAAATCAATACAAAACCACGCGCAACAAACTAAACAAAACATTAAAGAATTAGGTAAAATTAAACCTGTTAACTTTACTAAAACATTATTATTATACTTCTCAGGCTATCACGAAGCTAAAACTTATTTTCGATTAAAAGCTCTAAAATTAAGCGCTCTCATTCGGAAAAAAATATCAATTTTTCAAGAACATCAAAATGTGTATTCTGAAGAACAAGTCGATATAGCAAGGAGTGTTCATGCCCTAAAATATACAACACAATCATTTTTTCTCGTAACATAATCATTATAGAATCACGAATTAACGAACACGTCGATTTTACTTATTCAAACGACGCACAGAATCAATGGGATCGACAATGAAGAGTGTCCCATCTACAAAAGGGCATTTCTATCCTGATCTGATGACGTCACTAGGCTGCTATGACGTCACTAGGTTGCTATGACGTCATGCTATGACATCATTTCATTTCTAAGCACGTGACACTCTCATAAGTCTTGAGCTAGGAGATTAACAAGAAGTTCTGGTACTCCTTCCCTTGACGACCGAACTGTCATTCTATACATCTGAAATTTAGTTTTAGTAGAAATCGGGTGGATAGTGGATACACTATATTTATATTTTCATCAGACTCTGCATAAATTAAGATAACAATAATTATTAATTAAGATAATTAGAGACTTGATCATTTCAATTAATGGTATTTTCTCTCCTCTCTTAAGAAGTATTAAAGACAACAATAACTCAGTATTCTCCTAACCAGAGCAGCTTTACTGGGCTCCAGTCGGAGTAGACACCCGATCTGCGATCCTTCGCACATAACTATTCCTGCTCCCACTAGATTATCAGGTTTGGGATCAACACCGTCCAGCACTTGGAAACCAAACCCGTTTACCTTGCCTTTGACCAGGTCGTTATCCATGGGTTTACTTGCTTTGAACACTTTTTGGCATTCTTGAGCGGGTCTGATACAGGGTGAGCTATTTAAATCTTAATATTTAAACTTATTTCATATACATAGTACACCTCTAACAGTAAAATTTGGTGCAGCAGAAAATTTACTGATTAAATTTCTTAATAAACTAAACTTCACTCATTCCATTAAAATCATATCAATGCATTTTCATAGAACAATGTTAACTATGTATTTTAAAGTGACAAAAACTCACAAGCTGAGGTTTTTCCAGCGTACGAAGAAGTCAGCAGCTGCCATGCTGGTTCCCCGGAAGAATTTGTTAACGAGGAGGGGTAATCTTAGAACCATGTTTTGTGCACTTCCCGCAGCCCTGGGTGAGAGGCGGTTACTAATTGGTAACTACACGGTTACCAATACTACTTGGTTACTACTTGGTCACAATTTGTACTACTTTTTTATTACTTGGTTACTACTTGTTAACGAGGAGAGGTGATTTTATAACCTAGTTTCGGCACTTTTTGGTTACTAATTAGGCGAGTTGTATGATAGGTAATAAAATATAAATATAAAGGTCAACTCACGAGAATGATATCTGAATGAGAGGACACTCAGCGAAGGCTGACACAGCAGTAGCTTTTATAGTTTGTGGGATCTGAGCTCCTGCAGCAATGAGTTGTGCTACTCTTTGTCCTTCAAGTCGCAGGCAGGGTTCATCCGCCGCTGAAAGGGGTGGGTTCAATATCTTTCAGATTATCGATAAAAAAGGTCATACTTCTGTTAACGTCATATTTTGAATGAAGGGCTGACTTTCTTCGCCCGAGACTTAGCTGCAATGGGCAGCTCCTCATTTAACCCTCACACCCGATTTCTCGAGTATTTGGCTGAGTGGACCGGGGGGCTGCATACTGCATAGACCACTCAGGATCCTTAGCTGAGCGTCGACGACGCTCACCCCACGGCTAGTGACAGAGTCGGGAATCGAACCTGGTACCTCAAGCAATACCAGGCGGATTAACCAACTGAGCCACTAAGCCGTCAGATTTTCGGGCGTATTTAACACTTGGGAGGTCCGGTGTTCCAAGTGAGTTTCCTCTAGTGGTTTTACTCTTGTTGTTTGTAGATAACAATACCAAGAATACATACTATTAACCAACAACCAACAGTATTCTCTCGTTTGTTTCGACAATTGTATAGTAAAATACTAACCAGAGATGTAAAGAGTAGTAGTAAACCCTTGTAGAGGAAGGGGAGACTTGTTACCGTAGAACACCTGCAGCTTACCTGACGTATAATTCTGGTAAAACGTTAGGAAATTTGGTAATTTTTGGGGTACAGGGCTCTTTTTTATGTATAAAAGGAAGGCCAACATTTATGTATATGTTGGCCTTCCTTTTCGTGATTTTCTTTCAAATGACACGTTTGGTCGTATTGACCAAGCATTCTTAGATAATAGAAACGTGATAACGCGACAAGAAAATAATAAAATACCCAGGACTCCAGTGAACTCTGATTTTACTCCGATCTGAATTATATCGTTCTCAAAAAGAATCCCGTTGTTCCGAGAGCAGATGAACGCGTTGAAGTTCGGTTGAGATGCTTCGTTACATTCTATCAACCCAGTTACCACCTAAATATTTATAAAATGTTAACACGTGTACTATACTTTTAACTTTTTGAGTCTGTCATTGGTACACATCTAGTAGATTAAAGAAATGAGTCCAGGATAATCACCATCGTGTCTAAAACAAAACATTAGATAAAACATTTCCATGTGTTTGAGGTTAAACCTGAACTTTAGTGGGATCCTGAGCGGGTGGTGCCCCACCGAACATGTCCAGCAGTGATGGCTCAGCAGCAGGGGCAGTGACCGGTGCTGGTTGAGCTAGAGGGAGTGTCGTGTGGTTGTTGAGCACAGGGCTGTCTTCAGGGGTTCCACTTTCCTGGAGGAGAAGGGTGTAAGGGGTGGGGGGGGTAAGATCCAGGGGTGTAAGGGGGGGGGGTGGGGGGGGGGGGGTAAGATCCAGGGGTGTAAGGAGGGGGGGGGGGGGGTTTAAGAACCAGGGGTGTAAACACCAGGTAATTGAGTGTAACTGAGGATAATCTAGGATAATTCAGGGATCGATTATAAATTAATAAACAATAGGACGAAATGCTTTTTAATCAACGAGTAAACAAGAAACATGAACATGTCAATGGCTTTCAAAAAACATGCTTCTATTTAAGACGTTTCCAGGATGTCTTTGCTGCAACTAAAGAGGTATTGGCACTTATCTATTCGTACAATTTAGATCATCTATAATATATTAGGTCTTTCAGCATAGCTTTTTCATAATCATAATTAACAAAAAAGAATAAACATTTTCTTGGAGTGCAAGCTTGCAGGGCCGGGTTGATAAAAATGATACAAATATATAATTTATATGTATTCCGCCGTTCAGCGTCATAACGTAAAGTCTTTTGTTTCCTCTCGGTCTTGGGGGGGGTGTAACCCAAAAAAACCCAAAAAAACCCAATCCCAGTATGACCTTTTTCAGGGTAGGAGTTGGGTTTTTTGGGTTGTTTACAAATTTTTCATTTGAAGGAAATAAAATCATGTAGGCACCTAGCAAAACAATTATCAGTACAACATCACTGTTGTGGTTCATCACTACAACATCACAATAGATATAATCGCTTAAATATCACCCAAAAGCAGTATTTTATTCACTGATGTGCTCAGAAGAAGTTGGCCATCCAGATATGATATCAGCCATATGTAAATTGTAATGCTCACTTCGATGGCCATGGCAAATTGAGTTAGTAGGGACGCAACTCAGTGATGACCCCAACCCTGACCGCAACCGGTACGAGAGGAATAAAGCCTTTCTTCTCACCTTCACGATCTCTGTTTCCGTTTTCCTGATCATCCGCTTAACGAGAAACCATGCTCTATCTCCAACTGAGAGAATCTTGCAGTTACCATCGGCTGCATGATCACATGTGATATTAAGTGATATCTTTGCTTGTTTATGGCCCTGGAGTCGCTAAAATCTTGACTGGGATGGCATTCGATCCCGCCCTCCATTGAGGCAAACCTCAACAGCCGTATCATGATGCAGAGCATCACCATACACAGTTACTATTTTCGCCCATTCCTCTGATGAGTCAATATCCTCCACTTCCTCTTCGTCATCATCTGTTTCCGCTTCGTCACTCTCTGCTCCGTCAGAAGATGGTTGGAAAGCCTCTCCTTCAAAGTTACAGTGTTCTTGAATGAGTTCTCTACCCCTTGAGACTCCCTTCTTCATAGCTTGGAACAATCTTGGGATTGAAGTATCTTTACCTCAAAATAGTTTCTCTGCTTTCGGATGCGGTATAACAAGCTTGTTGCGAGAGTGGGCAACTGTTACAGGGATCAAACTTTTGCAGAGTGCATCAAGCTCGAGGGAACGGTTTGATTTGCCCATGCCAACCAACATATCCTTAGAACACAGATTAGTTCTAATGCCTGCATGGAGGCCTATGCGCAGGAAAGCATAAAGTTTGCTCGCAGGCATCGGATGTAAACAGCCAGGGCATAAAGTGTTGATAACTGTTGTCAGCTGTTACACTGAGAATGTACAGCATCAGACCCTCGACTGTAATAATCGCATCATCAAAATTTTTACAGACGTAGGCAGGTGGTCTTTCAATGGTTGTGTGAAGCTTAGGTGGCCCAAGGCGTCACCGCTGGATAGTTCAAGCTGGGTGGAAGGCCTGGTCTGATGTGAGGCTCCCGAACTTTGAAAAGGGGTATCCTGCTGGTGCCCTCTTCCAGACACTCATCGGACAGCATGATGAAAGCCACTACCTCCGCGTGGTGAAGACTGGATACTGGACAGGGGGTCCAAGCTAAAGGCAGGACGGTCGACGGGAGACATTGAGCCCTGGAAGTTCAATAATTTGATCTATTGACTCCTTAAATCTTGGTCTACAAGAGGCTTTGAGACTCGTAAATCTTTACTGTGGATTGCACAGTAGCTAAAGAGGTGTTGGCTGTTACCCTGTTCAACCTAGTCTACTATGACCCAGCTAGACTGGACCACACTCTGGTAGTCAGGATACGGCTTCCTATGCCCGGGGTACCGGGTAACGAGGTAGTCAGGGGAAGGGTTAGTACCCGCTAAAGTGTAGCTCTGTTCTCACTCTAACCTCTTTATGCTTTGGGATAAAAAGTCCCACACTGGAGCAGGTGACGATTGGGTAAGGATTACAACTGATGCTGTTGGGTAGAAAAAGGAAGTGTCACATTTGTCTTGTATAGCATATGTTCGTGCAATTACATGCTCAAGATACCCAAGACATTATGGTGAGAGTTAAATATGGCTATTGTTCAAGCGGATGCCCTTAACCTTTTAGTGGCGCAAGAGTTAAGAACACAATCCACTGCCAATGTGCAGGGGACTGCACGGGATTGTGAGCCAACTGAAAAGTCAAGATGAAGTTTATCAACAGCTTAAGGGTTAAAGCCCCTTATTTTTCTAGTGGAAGTGGTTGCCGGGGTAATTACGCTGCTATTACAGAAGCTGATGACTCGGTCTCCACAATGCAACACGACAACCTATTTCTACGGAAAGTCAAACAAGAAAACATCAAAAAAATATGAACATCAATTGCATTGTATCATGTAAAAGGGCTGCTCAGGTTGGCACGTTTAACATAAGAACAGCCAGAGAACAGCACAAACGCATCGAACTTGAAGAACTATTTTCTCGAAGCAAGCTGCACATCGGGTAGTGCATGCTGATTGCTGAGAATACCAGAATAGAAAAGATGAACAAAGGGATTCATCCAGTGATCTCATCTGCGTGGAGAAACGCAGCTGGCGCTTCTAATGGGAGAGTAGGAATCATCTTGACGAGGACAGCATATGAGGCTATAAGTCTTATAAAGTTATAAAATCTTACAGCGCAAGGATCCTCACCATGTCTCTTAATGGAAAGCCCAGGCTCACTGTCATCACATGCTACAGTCCTACAGAAGCCTCATCTGATGAGGAGGCAGGAAATCTCTTTTGTCTAAAACCAAGGATCTTACAGTTAATTTAGTAGGAGAGGAGCCACACACAATAATTTCTAAGGACGGACATGCCTTAGAAGAAGTTGAGGATTTTAGTACAACGGAGCACGACTTTAGGTTACGCAAGGCCAAGGCATGGGCTGCCTACCACAAAATGTAGGCTATATGGAGGTCCAATTTGCGCCGAGATTTAAAGATCCGTCTGTTCAAGCTACGGTTGAATCAATCTTCCTGTATGGAACGAAAACGTGGACAATAACAGACTCTTTGAAGAAAAGAATAGACGGATGTTACAGTAGAATGCTTCGGATGGCCCTAAACGTGGACTGGAGAGGACATCGCATCAACAAGGAGGTCTTTGGATCACTCCCAAGAGTTATTTCGAAGATACAGGCCAGAAGAATGAGGTTGGCTGGGCACATCCAGCGACATGATGACCTGGCAGCACACCAACTTCTCCTTTGGGAACCTAGGGAGGGGTAGACCACCGCTCACCTTCGTCGATAACCTAATAAGTGACACTGGACTCAAGAACACTGGAGAGATTAAGGAGCTTATGGCGGACAGAAAGCTTTGGAGACACATCATCGAGAGTCGGACTCTGAAGCCGCCTTAAGTCGAGTAATTTAAGTCATGTGCTTTGACTTGCCTTGACCTTCGTCATAGCCTCCTTCCATGACAGGAGAACACATTTGCCACATTTGGCACATTTCCACTTTGTGCATTCATATGGATTATATCTCGATGAACGAGACATCCTGTTTGCTATCGTGATAACATACTATCAATATAAACACACTTATATACTATGTAAACTATCTATTAAGTTAAGACATGAGAACAACACGTAGGTAAGACTCAGTGGGAAATAATTCACATTCAATACAATTAATGAAATGGCTAAAATTTTGTTTAAATTTTGTTTAAAAAACCCAAAAAAACCCAATCCCAGTATTACCTTTTCTTGGGTAGGAGTTGGGTTTTTTTGGGTTACACCCCCCCCCCCCCGGTCTTTACTTCCCTCTCTTATCCTCCTCCCCCTACCATCCCTCCTCCTCCCCCTACCATCCCTCCTCCTCCCCCTCCCATCCCTCCTTCTCCCCCTACCATCCCTCCTTCTACCCCTCCCATCCCTCCTCCTCCCCCTCCCCATCCCTCCTCCTCCTCCCCTTCCCCTCCCCTCCCCCTCACATCCCTCCTCCCCCCTCCCCTCCCCCTCACATCCCTCCTCCCCCTCCCATCCCTCCTCCTCCCCTTTCCCTCTCTTACTCTCCTCCCCCTCCCCTCCCACCTCCTCAGTCCTCCCCTCCCTCCTCCTCCCCTTTCCCTCTCATGTATGTATGTATGTACCTCATCACTTTTAACATTAATAACAGCCAGTAAATCAGTCATTGGTATCACTAATATTTGGTTTTAATCAATTCTTTTCCAAGTATTTAATAAATAATTTCAGCATTAACAAGCGATCTGAATCATTCGGCAGCAATCAATTTGTAGACATGTAATCTTCATCATATTGATACGAGCACATGTATCGATACAAAGCGCAGGTATTTGACATAAATAAGGGGGTAGCTTTTACCAGAGAAGGTTCCACAACGTTGGGCCCGGGTGAATCTAGATCGAGGAGACTAGCGCCTCCGTTATCAGCTGCGCCCGACGACAATTCAACGCTCTAGTGTGCAATTTGATATCATGTGTCGTCTTGGTAACGACGATAACATTCATTTTATACTTGCAACCTTGTTATCAGATTGATATTAAGACATGTTACTATATTGTATCTAAACATCACTATGAGCGTGTTAAAGCACAGTGTTGAAGTGTAATATGTAGTTTTCCAGGTTTTATCTGGATACAATTTTTGATCAGCGGATAAAATGTCCAACTTCATTGCTCAGTCACAGTTTGTTTTTCACTGGATTCAGCTCGCTAAAAACTACGTTATACACCTTCTCACAAATTGTATGTGTGCATGCAGCATATTATGTATTTGAGATGACAAACGTACCAGTTCAACAAGGTTAACGTCCGGAGTGGGTATTGTACAGGGCTCCTCCACAGCAGACAGGGTTATCCCGTTCTAGTGTTATTAGTTGTAGTGATGACGTCATGGGAGGTGTTATGACGTCATTAAGGGGTGCTATGACGTCATTTGTGATTTGTGGAGGCGGAACACAAACAGTGCTCTTAGAAACAGTGTAAAAAAAACATTAAACAAACCAAATATGGGCTTCACACGTGCTTTTTGTTACTCGCGGGGAGGCAATGAGCTAAATTTGCATACCTCCCCACTAATAACCACAAAAAAAAACAAGAAACAACTCCTACCTGAGTAGAAGTGTTGTCTCCTTCCGGGACTTCCCGCTCTTTTACCATGGTGTTGCTCTTCCTCTTGAGTTTAGCGAGGAGGCTACTCTCCCGTTCTGTGAACTGAGGCATTTCTTCTAGGACAGTCGCCTGGAAAGCAACTTATTATGGTTATTAAAGTTATAGTTGTGCACTTTGCAGATTACATGTCATCTAGAAGCAATAATTGTATAAATTATACTTAAATCTGAAAATGTATCTAGTACATATATAAATATAATTCGTGCATTGAAATTAATATCAATTGATCGGTTTTATAAATTGGTATGTAAATATTATCAAAAATTGATCCGCAAATTTGGATGATACCACTTAAAAGAGTGAAGATTTCTGCTCAAGAATAAGAACTACTAATTAACTATAATTACTAAGAGAGTATAAATTTATTTAGAGAGAGAGATCTAACCAGGAGATCAGAAGAGGCAATCTGACTCAGTTTCGTGTACTCCATTGCCCTTTGTTGGATCTCGGCATCCGAGTTCCTCAGCTGATTATCGTTGCCAAGAACCTGTCAAATTTTATAATTTGCATTGCTCATGCTTTTTAATCAATTTTTGTTCAATTATTTGTTCTGACCTTGACGAATAGGATAAAGTTTATACAGGTATGTGTGCACTGTGCAGTGTACGAAATGCACTAGGTACAACGGTAGTAATAAAATTAAGATTGTGGAGTTTTTACAGACCTCTTCGATATCTCCCTTAATTTCGGGGAACAGGTTAATGAGTTTGATGTAAGTTGAGAGAAGGATATACTTTGTCTGATTACTGCAAAGATGGAACATCGAGTGTAGAAGCTTGAACTGTACTATCGGCCTGAGAACAAAATCTTGGTTTGAACGACAACTTTTACAAATTCATTCGACAAAAGAACTTATTCATCTTAATCACCCCGGTAATAGTGAAGAAAGGAACTTTATGACTTGAGCAATTTTCATAAGCATTTTAATTCGTACATTCGCCCACAGCTGTACTCCATATGACGAAATAAAGCCGAACTTATTCGTCCAATAATACACGTATAGTCGTATTGATGCAGGCAGAATCAATTTCATTTTGTAATAACCTTAAAAGTTTTTTACTCAAGCTAAAGGGATAAGGTTTCATTTTATCAGCTTTTTAGAACGTTTAAAAGTAAATTAAATTACCCTGATCTCTCATCTCCAGCTATCAGATTTCCAAATTCTCCCAAAATGTACGCCCCAACTTTGACCATGTTTTCATGACACGTTGGTGCTTGCAGTGCCTGAAAGGACCATTACTGAATTTTTTTTATTGAAATGCTGAATTCTACTCATGGCAGAAGTTCCATTGTTTAACCGTTTAATATATCATCTCCAATATCACAACACTTATCCACTATTACTCAATTTTATTTTAGTCGCGCCCTCTTTGCCAATCAAACTGAGGCGTGCGCGCGCGCGAACGCGCACTTTTAAAGTGCTGGGTTTATAGCGCTTTCATCAAATATTCTCTCTAAAAACTAGCAATAGCTACATAATGACCTATTGTATACTGTCATCTGACCTGGAATCTAAACGAGCTTTGTTTATATTGAGTTATGCAGGAAGCGCCTTACCTCGAATACCGTCTTAGCAGCGTAGGCTTGAATATCGTCTCTGTTGATCACAATCTGCGTCACACGGTACCACACCTAAGAATTGATCCATGAACGAGTGCGAAACCACTTCTAAATTGACAATTTCTGGTCATAGTTATCATGACATCGGTAACTTATTATTCCTTTTAAGAGCTGACAGTCAAAAACAATCGCGCATCGGTCGTTAAGTCACGAAACCTCTGCTATTACCAAAATATATTACCGATGAGTTGTCAATACAACGATCTAATAAAATATGCAAGGCAGAATTTAACGCAAACCTAATATAAATAAGCAAGGTAGAATCCAACAATCTTATAAAGCGTGCAAGGTATAATTTGGCACATACCTCGTCAGCAATGTAATCTCCCGCTATCCTTATCAAGTTTAAGACAACGTCAACGTACCACTTGTAGTCCTGGGCGAACTTTTCCGCCAAAATCGCTATCTTTAAAACCTGGTAATTGACTAATAAGTTGACTTGGTTAGTTCACGAGAGTCATGTTTGTTTTCTGATGTTAGACTTAGTGAAAGTGGGGGTATTTGTTTTGACACATGACAGCGTTTGGCAATCAGCTTGCTGTAACACAAAATCAAATTACAAATTCAACATAATTTCAGCCTTGTCCTGAAATTGACGCTATACAATTAAAAGTGTCAGGCTTCAGTTGAGAGATATCAGATTGTTTTGATTTACACACTGTATATCGACATACACTGTATATCGACACGCACGTTGTATGGCTATTGATGATACGATCCTTTTTGCCGATGATCCACCGTATCAGCACGCTTGTTACAGTCGATGTGATCCCCTCTTGATAACAGGTAGAGGAGCAAAGGCACTACACAGACAAGAGTTCATGTGGTGCATTATATTGATAATAACAAGGATCACATGTCCATATACAGTGTCAAATCACACCGTATATCTACATACACCGTTTATCGAATGGAGATATAAGGTTATCGATATATAGTGTATGTTAATATATACAGTGTGATTACCGATTGTTTTAACAATCTATTGGCAATTAATTAAGTGAAAACCTATTTGATTGCCACTAGACTACATACCTTACCTTTTAAATATTTATTAGAAATAACTCTACGTGTCTGACTCACGTCAACCATTCTGGACTAATTTTTGCCCAAAAAAAAACAAAACTCCGATTTACCGTGGTTCTCATCCATTCCCCAAAATTTCGTGGTAAATCATTAAATTGGAATAGAGTTGGAAAATAAGTATCATTTACGACATGTTCCTTAAAAATCCTCAATGATGGATTAATCGATTTATAAATTAATTAATCGATCTCATGAAAGTGTATTCATACCAGTTCCTCTCTGATGGAATAATCTGCTTTCTCCAGATAAGCCAGCAGCTCTCCAACAATCTCCTCTGCTTGTTCCCTGTCACACATTGCGTAAAGCAGGTCTACCGCGCGCTGCCGCACCGACAGGTCCCTCTCATTCTGGCGAGTAATTAGTTATGTGTAATTAAGTGGTTTACATTTTACATTTAAAGTGTATTGTGGTTGTCAAGAATTGTGTTTTGAGTGAATTTAGCAGCTGAATGCCCGTATAAAACATGAAATTAAACATGGCTCTCTGGACTTCATCAAGTACAAGCTAGACTCAGAATTTTATACTTAGTAGCTACATATCCCACATATCCCACATATCCCACATATCCCACATATCCCACATATCCCACATATCCCACATATCTCACATATCCCACATATCCCACATATCCCACATATCCCACATATCCCACATATCCCAACAATCCCACATATCCCACATATCCCACATATCCTACATATCCCACATATCCCACATATCCCACATATCCCACATATCCCACATATCCCACATATCTCACATATCCCACATATCCCACATATCCCACATATCCCACATATCCCACATATCCTACATATCCCACATATCCCACATATCCCACATATCCCACATATCCCACATATCCCACATATCCCACATATCTCACATATCCCACATATCCCACATATCCCACATATCCCACATATCCCACATATCCCACATATCCCACATATCCCTCATATCCCACATATCCCACATATCCCACATATCCCACATATCCCACATATCCCACATATCCCACATATCCCACATATCCCACATATCCTACATTGCATATCCCACATATCCCACATATCCCACATATCCCACATATCCCACATGATAATTACATTGACCATCTAATTGCAATCTAACTGACACGTGTAACACCCCTGTTCCATGCCCAATGAACGATGAACGAGGATGGGCACGAGGATACGAGTTCCATAAATTCGTCGAATATTGCCTCCAAATCCTCGCGCAAATACCCATCCTCGCGAGGGTAAATCATCATCGTGCACAATTTCCCACGAGGATGATTTCCTCGCGATGAAATTATTGGACATTTCTATCCTCGCGAGGGTTTTCTCCTCATCGCACGATGATGAAATTCGAATAAATCACTGATCTTTCCAAAAAGGTATGACAAATTTGGTATTGTGAAAATTTTAACAGTCTCTAGAAAACAGTGGTACAACAATTTTTAAAATCCGAGCAAGTTTATTTTTATCGTGCACCCCCTAGTATCATCGCGAGGATCCCACGAGGATCGCACAAGGATCGCACGAGGATCACCGCGAGGATACCTATATGAATTTTCGACGAAATTATGGAAATCATATCCTCGTGTGCATCCTCGTTCATCGTTCATTGGGCATGGAACAGGGGTGTTACATTACTAAAGGGAACAATGTTGAGAACGTGAGCCCCCCCCCCCCCCCCCGTAGAACATGAGCCCTCCCCCTCTGAGAACGTGAGCCCCCCGGCCCCCCCCCCCTGAGAACGTGAGCCCCCCTGAGAACGTACCTTCAAAGCTTGCACAACGGTCTCCTGATGTTTCATAACAGCTTTCCTACTAAAATCAGACACAGCCAACTTAGTTAAACTTTCCAGCGCCAGATATCTGAAACAAAAGTGATTTAATCATTACGTTACAAGATACAGGTAAAACAACAATGACTTTAAATACACCGAGGTAAATATCTGCCCTCCTCCCGATCCCCCCGCGGTCCCCTCTCCTCTGTGGTCCCCTCTTTATGTGGTCCCCTCCCCCGGCACCTTCCCTCCCTCTATAAGTACAGAGGAGAGTGAGGGAGAGAGCGTACTGTATATTACTGGCTAATAGATGATTATCACAATATACTAATATACATTATACATAATATACAACAATAACTGACAGTCATCATATTTTGTATTTATGTTAACATTAAATATTTATAAATATCTAATGTTAACATAGGTTCATATTTTATATTGATTTTCATATTTTATATGATTTTCATATTTTATATTGATTTTCATATTTTATATGATTTTCATATTTTATTTGATTTTCATATTTTATATAGATATTCATATTTTATATTGATAGTGACCAATTTATGGGACAAAATCTACCAAATTTGGTGCGTATGCCCAAATATGGGCATATGGTTTTTGGCCCATAACTCAGTCATTTTTTGTCCAATCTTGATGAAATTTCATATACGAGTTCAGGAGACCACTGCACTAGCTACAAGTAGAGCACTATAAACCTGGCTTTTGGGCAAGTTCAGGGTATTTGGCTAAATTGGACCTAATTTGGACAAAATATGGGCGTGGCTGCCCTAGGCTATCCACTCCGATAATCGTTACCGATAATTATCTCCGATAATTCGTTAAAAAAGGTTATCTGTTTATCTAGATAAAACATATTTTTATCGGTATAAAAATTCACTAGAAATTACCGAAAAAACTGCCACAATACCGTAAAATTTTAAAGAAATATTAGTGTTTTTTGCCTTCCCAAGTAATCCAAGAAACAGTCCCAAACGTTTTATAGTATGATAGAAGAGGTAGTTTACTTAAATGTGAGCTTAAGAGGTTTATTTACATTTGTATACCTATGGAACTGTAGAACTGTAGAACTGTAGAACTGTAGAAGTCTAGAGAAAGTTATTGACATTGTTATCTTGAAGTTGAGGCTAGGGTGCTGGCGTTCTACCTTACTTGAACCATTCTGGAGACAGGAACGAGCATGTTACTGTTAACAAGAGTCAAAAATACCGGCAGGCGGCAGGGCACTCAATTAAATTCCGTAAGTGTTCTAGGCGTGAAACATTGTCTTCAGGAGAAGGAATCTGTTGCTCCAAGTTATCCACAGGATAAGGAAACGGTTCACTGAATCACTTTAAATGTTTTACTGTTTCGAGGAGAATTGGTATTTGTTGCACTACTGTTCTCAAGAGAAGGATACCGGTGGTCCACTGTTTTGAAGAGAACTGGTGCACTACTGTTCTCAGGAGAAGGAAACCGGTGGTCTAATGTTTTGAAGAGAACTGGTGCACTACTGTTCTCAGGAGAAGGAAACCGGTGGTCTACTGTTTTGAAGAGAACTGGTGCACTACTGTTCTCAGGAGAAGGAAACCGGTGGTCTAATGTTTTGAAGAGAACTGGTGCACTACTGTTCTCAGGAGAAGGAAACCGGTGATCTACTGTTTTGAAGAGAACTAGTGCGTTACTGTTCTCAGGAGAAGGAAACCGGTGGTCTACTGTTTTGAAGAGAACTAGTGCGTTACTGTTCTCAGGAGAAGGAAACCCTTGGTCTACTGTTTTGAAAAGAACTGGTGCACTACTGTTCTCAGGAGAAGGAAACCGGTGGTCTACTGTTTTGAAGAGAACTAGTGCGTTACTGTTCTCAGGAGAAGGAAACCGGTGGTCTAATGTTTTGAAGAGAACTAGTGCATTACTGTTCTCAGGAGAAGGATACCAGTGGTCTACTGTTTTGAAGAGAACTGTTGCACTACTGTTTTCAGGAGAAGGAAACCGGTGGTCTACTGTTTTGAAGAGAACTAGTGCGTTACTGTTCTCAGGAGAAGGAAACCGGTGGTCTACTGTTTTGAAGAGAACTAGTGCGTTACTGTTCTCAGGAGAAGGAAACCCTTGGTCTACTGTTTTGAAGAGAACTGGTACACTACTGTTTTTAGGAGAAGGAAACCGGTGATCTACTGTTTTGAAGAGAACTGGTACACGACTGTTCTTAGGAGACGACAAACCGTTGGTCTACTGTTTTGAAGAGAACTGGTACACTATTGTTCCCCGGAGAAGAAAACTGATGCTCTAATATTTTCAAAAGAAAGGAAATTGTACTTTAGCAAGATTACTGGTAAACAGTAATAAAAGTCGACAATCAGTTTTTGTGAAATTTGGAAAACATTTTGGCTTTGGCCTTCAGCAGAAAAATTATCGGTTTTATCGGTTTTATCTAGATAAAACCTAAATTTTTATCTGTTTATCTAGATAAAAGATTTCATACCGATAATGGATAGCCTAGGCTGCCCTGCGCGCACCGTTTGGCGGTTGGGGTCCGGGACCCCCTCAAAAGTTCGGTCACTGGTCCTAGTTTGTTGGTCAACTTGCTATCTCGAAATCAAGTTTCACAAAAAATACCCATTGGCCCCCCCCCCCCCCCCCCCCCCCTTAAGGTCACTTAAATAATTAGGAAATTCAAATGCCACACTCTATTTAAAGAATATTATACGTGACATGTTTGACATATTATAGACTGTACATTAGGCAGTGTAAAACGCTCCTACTTACACAACTTGTAGTCTACAGACTACACTATACGTAAAGTGTATATACTATAGATTATACACTACATACAGTGTATGCACTACACAACTCTAATTATCTAAGATGGCGTATCAAGGTTTATTCCAGAATATTCGCTCATGGACAAAAATGTAACACTAAACAAATGAACATGTGTTTTCAGTTGACTAATATAACTTATCGTTGCCAATTAAAACAGTATAAATGAATCCACTAAATTATATACTAGATTTAAAATATAAGCCTTTACTATTTATGTATTATAGACGACGAGTTGTTACGTATGTGACCAATGCTGAATAAGTCATCATCAAATGAGTGTAGTACGCGTCGCATTCGACATTTTATTAACAGTAGATGTTGCATGATGTACTTGACACATTTTTTATTAAGTTATAAAATAAAAAGCTGAAATCGGATACATCAAATCCATGAAAATATGATTGGTATTTCGGATTACCAGCGCTAGGCTGTCTCAACTTTAAAATTATTAATTGAGAAGTAAAAGATCGAGAGAACTTTCTGAGTGAAAAGCGTATAATACTAAATCACGAAAATTTGCAGCACCTAAACATTGTTAGGTAACATGTTACAGTGATAAGCGATAATGATATTTCTACTATATAATATCATCTACTAATACTATATGATATTATCTATTAAATATAATATTATCTATTAAATAGGGTATAATGATGTAGTCCGAACTCTCCTCAGGTTTCTCTTGTCCCATAGAATATACATATTATATCTGATATCGACATCATGACATCATGAGGCATAACGTTGGGTGAAAGTTGTAGACCATATAATTGTATAAAAACTAAAAGCATGGGTAAGTGGTACAGGTTCTGACTTCTGGGGGTATTGTATCGATAAAATTATATGCAAAAGTGTCCAGTCCTTACTTAACTTATAAAAGTACATTTCTGGAATGTTTAGATTAATAAGTTTTGCTGCGTATAAGTTTTATCTTAATAGTGGTGTTATTACGGTTATTAAACTTCAATTTATTGTTATTATTAGCTATACAATATTCTAGTCCCGTGTAGTATTATAGTGAACACAGAACAACGGAGATTGTAAAGTTGTACTAATAACAGTTAACAATTGGAGTTTGATAATTGCTTCTGAAGAAACATTATAAGAGGGTGACGTCACGCGAGGGTGAGTGGTGACGTCACGTGAGGGTGAGTGGTGACGTCACGTGATGTAGTATCAGCAATATTTATAACTTCTTTTTACAAGTGTTTGTTACCTGAGATTGGTTTCTTTAGAGTTGAGGAAGCCTCCTAATAGATTACAAGATCTGACCATGAGCGCTGCATCGCTGAAAATATAGATGAAATTAGGACACGTTTCATTGGTCTGTAACCTTTATTGTGAAACGTGGAACATTCTTGATGAAAACCACGTCAAATTGGTTAAGCATCGTTAACCAGAAGATATATAGCAATTAATTGGTTTAGAGCGATTAAAAACCTGTCGTAATGAATTATAAGGCTGGTTTATAGGGATTAAATACCTGTCGTAATGAATTATAAGGCTGATAGCCTCGAATAAAACAGCGTTTTTCGCGTTAGTGTGCTGGATTTTCTTGCTTTTCGGGGGATCAGTTGCACGGTTGAGAATCGTTTCTAGTGACTCCTTTAATCGCTCGTAAACGGCACCATCCTCTGTGGAGAACAGGTCAATTAGAGATAATGAATATGTTAATCAGACATAATTGGGGGAGAAGCTGATTAAGTTTGGCATTAATTGAACAAGGAATTTGTATCGATTGATCATTATATTCTGTTAAAGTTAGTTGTAGGTAAGATAGACAATTCCCGCAATTACGCAGTTGCGTACAACTTGTGTAGTACAATAATTTTCACATGTGGCGCACTAATGGTACACACATACTATACACGCACTTACTAGTTACTATACACTAACTATACACTTACCAGGCTGGCTGTAAGATTGTAGTAGTCGGAGTAATTTTACACTGAGCCACGGGGCTGCAATGAAATAATACATGTAATCTTTCAGATCCGTACTGGATACTATCTGAAAAATATAAATTGATTAATTAGTCTATGAGATGATATATCACGATAATAATTTTTGCAATTAATTTTTTGGGTTTAACATTCAACGAAAATTTCGTTACTTTAAAATATGTCCACGAGTCTGTTACCACGAGTCTTTTATTATTATCTTGTAATTATATCTTTTTATTTATTATTTATATCTTTTATTTGCAAGTAAATGGCAAAATAATGAGGTAATGTCAAAACCTATGAAATCGTTGATGGGATAATGGTAACGAGATAAGCTGTGATAATGGTCACTGATAAAGCACAAGACACGTTGAACTCACCCTGGAAAGCCGTGAAACTGCCAGAGAAACGCATCCCTTGTAATCCCCAGGAGTAAATGTCACTAGGGCTTGTATTAGACTGCAGGCTGACGTCACTACGCCCTGTGTTATCAATTATCAGATGCTTAAATAACATATTTTAACATATTTTAACACATTTCTAGCATATTTCTAGCATATTTCTAGCATATTTCTACTGTAGCATATTTCAAAATGATGAAATTGTACTTTAATGAGCATAAAAAATGATTAACTCTTGACACGAATATTGATTCAAGACTAACTGTTTTATGAACTGTAATTGAAATGGTAGTAATAGTTCAGTTTCTTGCGAATATTTGGCTATAATGGTTATAATATTAAATTTGGACAAAACTGATAAATTCACTTGATTATGTTTCACCAACTGTATAAACCCAAAAAATGGGGTTAAAAAACTAACCAAATGTTGATCAGAAAGCAGGGCAATAAGTCTGCTACTCAGCTCTGTGTGGGTAAACTTGTCACTCTTTAGTTCAAAGAGGCGCAGCAGGCACAGCGCGGCGCACTTCTTCACCCCGTGTAACGTGTCACTGGCAGGAGGTGGATAAAGTTCGGGGATCCTGGGGTGCAATGTTGTCTGTCTGTTTGTATGTGTGTGTTTGTGAGTGTTTGTGAGTGTCACATTTTTGTTTGTTAGTGTGCGGGTGTACTTGTTTGTTAGTGTGCGGGTGTATTTGTTTGTTAGTGTGCGGGTGTATTTGTTTGTTAGTGTGCGGGTGTATTTGTTTGTTAATGTGCGGGTGTACTTGTTTGTTAGTGTGCGGGTGAACTTGTTTGTTAGTGTGCGGGTGTATTTGTTTGTTAGTGTGCGGGTGAACTTGTTTGTTAGTGTGCGGGTGTATTTGTTTGTTAGTGTGCGGGTGTATTTGTTTGTTAGTGTGCGGGTGTACTTGTTTGTTAGTGTGCGGGTGTATTTGTTTGTTAGTGTGCGGGTGTACTTGTTTGTTAGTGTGCGAGTGTATTTGTTTGTTAGTGTGCGGGTGTACTTGTTTGTTAGTGTGCGGGTGAACTTGTTTGTTAGTGTGCGGGTGTATTTGTTTGTTAGTGTGCGGGTGAACTTGTTTGTTAGTGTGCGGGTGTATTTGTTTGTTAGTGTGCGGGTGTATTTGTTTGTTAGTGTGCGGGTGTATTTGTTTGTTAGTGTGCAGGTGTACTTGTTTGTTAGTGTGCGGGTGTATTTGTTTGTTAGTGTGCGGGTGTATTTGTTTGTTAGTGTGCGGGTGTATTTGTTTGTTAGTGTGCGGGTGAACTTGTTTGTTAGTGTGCAGGTGTATTTGTTTGTTAGTGTGCGCCGTAGAGTGGTTCATTTTACCAAAAATTGTTCAAATAATTAGAAATCATATCTTATTAGTTGCTCTATAGGATCAGGAACGACCAAAAAATTTTTTTTGACTCTAGTGTTCCGGATATGGTCCGCACATGCCACGCCCATTTTTATAGCGTTTCTTATACAGGTAAAATTGTCTAAATCGTCAATTTAGTCATGAAGGAGTATGGAAGGAGTTCTGAATGTGTGCTCCTCTAATATAAACAGTAGAAAATGGTTAACTTTAGTCGAGGTCTCAGGTCTCTACAATGTCGGGAAGTTCCTGCAGGAGTTTGCGCATTGCGCTGAAGCGCGGGATTCACTGCGCCAAAAGTGAACGTCGTAGAGACATGAGACCTTGACTAAAGTTAACCATTTCATACCATTACTATAGGAGTGTGACACTTTCAGAGTCCTGAACACATTCTTATATCACTTAATCGTCAATTATATTAATTTTACCTGTTAAAATATATCATCTTTAACTGATATCAATTTAGTTTAACACTGTTAGCTTTAGAAAAGAAAATAATGCTTCACACCAAACTTACACACAGCATAAAAAAATACAAAAAGATTCCAAATTGAACTTTGATTATATCCTGAGACTGGTTATCATTTCTCGATTGTTCTCCACTCTCCAACGCAGTCAGAAAGTTCAGATTTAGGTAGACTTGGTTTTCGAATCTTCATATGTTCAGAAGTAGGCCAGAAGGGGTTTGGTTACCAGAGGAATTGAATATCTTCGTGGAACAAGGAAATTATTATACTAAAAATGGGCGTGGCATGTGCGGACCATATCCGGAACACTAGAGTCAAAAAAAATTTTTTGGTCGTTCCTGATCCTATAGAGCAACTAATAAGATATGATTTCTAATTATTTGAACGACTTTTGGTAAAATGAACCACTCTAGTGTGCGGGTGTATTTGTTTGTTAGTGTGCAGGTGTACTTGTTTGTTAGTGCGTATTTGTTTGTTAGTGTGCGGGTGTATTTGTTTGTTAGTGTGCGGGTGTATTTGTTTGTTAGTGTGCAGGTGTACTTGTTTGTTAGTGTGCTGGTGTATTTGTTTGTTAGTGTGCGGGTGTATTTGTTTGTTAGTGAGTTTGTCCGTCTGCATCAGTGAATTGTTATGACTTAAACTTATATTTCTCAGATATTTAATTGAATGTTATTGATGTAACAAGGCCTATAAATGTAGTACAAATCATAACAATAGATTATAAAGAACTTGATGTAGAAAAATAATGAGCAAACTTACGGGGACGTTAAGATTTTGGGGACTTCATCTCCGATTTCCTCTGCCATTTCGGGTGTTCCAATGTTAGCGATGCAAGTGAGAGCAAGGCAAATGTGAACTGGGTCCTTGCTTGACAGATCATTCTTAATTGCTTGGATTACAAGTTTGTAGAGATCGTTTGAATGATGCATCATGACTGATATGAATAAATAGCCCTGAAAATAAAACATTGATGTGAAATTATTGGAAAACAAATATTGGAGTTTTCATAATACCTACAAAAAACTCCATAATTTGACCGAATTTGACAATATTATATATATAACAATTGCAATATGAAGTCTGCAGTCTAGCCAGCAAAATTATTTCTATTTTACACACTAGCGAAAAACGGTGTCTCAAATAACACTACTGAACTACAAATAAGAAATGAGCATCTTCACTGCCTAATAAAATCAACTTACTATCTGCTTCTCGGTGTACTTGTTGGAGGCTAACAGATCTACTGCTTCCATGTGTCCAAAATCCACATCATTCCCCAATAAAAATATAAATAACAGTTTACAAACGTATTTCTTTTTCTGATACCCATCTAATTGTTTATCCCCTGGAAAATTAAGTTTGGTTAATTAAGCCAACAATAATAGACCAATTGCAATAGAGACACACCAATAAAATATTATGAACTTAAACAATATAATGTGTTGATTTAAATTTACCTTTAAATTTAGAGCGTATATTAGCCAATTCTTTATTAATTCTCTTTTTCTCTTGCTCCCTAGATTTGCCTGAAGAAAAACTATCAGCAAGATTGTAAACTCGATTACAAAACAATATAACCATTTGAAAATCAACCAGTTGTACCAATGTTACTCCAAAACTCTTGTTGAATTGTACAAAATTCAAAAGCGACTATTGCTTTAGAACAAAATCACACTTACAGTTTCTTATATCTGCAATAAAGACAGCCAAACCACGCATGGAGTCCCCTGTCCGAGGCATGGTTCTGGCTAGAGAATATTTTATGTTACTCAGATGTCATGTTACAACGATAAATAACGTTCTCAAACTGTTTGTGAGTAAAAAAGGAGAGCCCTCATTCAGCACCAATGAAGTATCAAATCACACCAGTCAAGACCAAATGTCCTGCAAGGCTAAGGTGCTCAGTGAGCACTTCCCATTAGAGTACTATTTGGGCTGTTATCCGACCTTTTACTCTACGTATCAGTAAGTAACAACCAAGGGACGACCGAGTCCTTGGTCACGGCGTCGGCTTTACCGAGGAATAGCGATTTTTCCTTGGCCTTGGCCTTGGTCAGGAGGACAATTCCTTGCTTTGCCTTGGCCTCGGTTAAAAATTAAGTTGCTATTCCTCGGCCTTGGCGAAATTGTCCCAGTTGCAAGGGTCGACCGAGTCTTCGGCCTCTGCCTCGGTTTTACTGAGGAATAGTGATTTTTCCTTGGCCTCGGCCAACAAAATGAAACCTCGGTTGTCCTTGGCCTTGGTTTTATCAAAGCAAAATTTCCTCGACCTCGGCCGCAAATCCTGCCCTCAGTCGACCCTTGGTAACAACTAACAAATACACCTTTTAAGGTAATAAAATATTGACCCGATGGTCGTCTACCTCAGGATTAAGGATGAAGGCCACTCTATGTAAAGGCCTGCTTGTTCCCTTGACGTTTCCAGGCCCCAGGGAACCTCTAACAGATAGGAGAGTTGCCCTTGAAGATCACGTCATGGACTTTATTGTATAATGTCCCATAAAAAATAAGTATTTTTATTGCGAATAAATTACCAGCATTCCGAAGCGTCTTTTGACATTTAATGCAAATACAATAAATTAAATCGAGTGATGCAATTGGCAGAGCGCAATCATAAATCCTGAGCAGTAGATATCATCTATCCCTCGTAGCTCTTCTCCTCAGGTATCAGGTTGAAGGAGACATTGGATATAGGGGCGGTCCATGCCTTCTTTGCCTTCCGGGGTACACATCTAACTGCTACTAGCACACTCCTCATTATAATGACCCTTTCTCCAATTGTAGCACTCGGTTCATGTACTGGTTCTTTTTATCATTCTCGTGCACAGTGTAGAGCTATGTCATGGTCTTTCCTTGATATGTTGGCGATTTGAGATTGAAAATGCGCACGTCAAGGTAAGTCCTCTCAAATGTGCTCCACACTCCTCTTGCTGATAAATCGAGCCTAGACTTGTCAGCATTCAGTTAAACCTTACATCCTTGATCACCAGCCTAAGCAACTGAGTATCTCACGTTATTATGACAGTAGTTCCATACTATTGAATTGAGGATGTGATTGTGATCATTCTTGGCTCCACAATCACATAATCTTGGGGTGTTAGGGATGTCCCAACCATACCAGAGATGAACAGCATCTCTGAAGTCTTGCTTGCTGTAAGCATACCCTAGCTGTTGAATGGGGAGACATGTAAGCCATTCAATGCAAATTCAACTAAAAGTTAAGAAAAGCATGTGAGTGAAGTTTTTGTTCTCCAATTGAATTACTTTTGGGTTACTTCTTGAGTAATAAATATTGATCGCTTAGTCGCCTTTTTTTGAAACCTTGTGTATTGAGGTAACAAATCAAATCAGGAATAACAACATAAACATCATCACCACGCGCATTCCTTACCCCGTTAGTTACCTGTCCTTCCAAAACCAAACTAGCAGTCAAGGACAAAAAATCATACACCGAATGGGCATTTTATTTTATGAATTGTTTTACATCTTTTTATTCTGTAAAATGTGCTAAAATTAAATTTATTGTTTCATAGAAATTTCTTGTTTCATTGACTTTCAAATACATTATTTTTAATTCGTACATTAACAGAGCTGTTAATATTTCCAATTTTATACAGTCTCACAGTGGCTGCGCTGCAACTAGCACACAAATTTGGCGCCCCGCCGTCAGTCGAACTAAGTAGACCTTATACGTCAATTTATCATTGACAACGCGAACGTATGATTTTGCCATATTTGCACAAATATTTTTAAAATGCGCGATCACGCCGCGCACATTCAACACAATTTTTGATAAAACAAAAAACAGCTAGGACCAATGTTCTCCGCAAACTTTTCTGCCTCTTCCACAGTTCCACATGCCAGGCAGCCTTAATTTGCAATACCTCTTCCACAAGAGCTCCACTCAAAAATTAGATTTCCAGAGCTCAATCTAGGGTCATTTCTTTGCGTACTATTCCAAAGCGCGATCAACGCCTGATCAACCAATGTTGGTCGCACGTCAATGCATAAAAAGCTTTCGCATTGCTTTAAATTGTTACAGTACGTTTTCCGAATTTATAAATGCTACATTATACTACTTTCTTCTTTGTTCTTTAGGGCCACATACTTATGCAGTCAGCATAATTTTCGTTTTGTAGACCATCCGCTTAGACTTGTCCATAGAATAGTTCAGATTCGTCTGAAGTTTTAAAACACCCCTTCTTGGATTTTCGGACTTATGAGTCACGTATTTTAACAATTATCCACAGGTTTCTATTATTCCCTGTTAACACCATTACTTTATCAACCACAAATATTCCGCTTTTTACTGTTGATTTATGTGGTTACCGGCTTGTAAAGTTGTACTTTTTAGTTAAAAATGGAGTCTGCGAGTATGACTTCTACCAAAGAAACTTCTACTTCTAATTCTCACAAGGAGATCAGGAAATACTCCTTACGAGACAAGAGTAGGACTGCCCAACGCATCCTTTGTGAGTAAAATGTTGAAGTGTAAATAGAACACGCTTTATAGTTTATTTTTAATATATTTATATGTTTTGGCACAAATATTAATAATAATATTTTATAGGTCGGTCGTGGATTACAGTTACACTGCAAATGCTTACCAGCGTGCGGTACTTTAGATTAAAAAGCCGTAAAAATTTCGTTGCCCGTTTAACTTTTATGCCATTTGCATTAATTACAATGTATTACAGTATTAATTAAAATTTCGATCGAATTTGATTAATAAAGCTCTTTAGTTATGGATTTTTTAGACATCTGAAACTACTTTTGTTTAGCGAATCAAGAGATACAAGAAATAATGGATATTGAAAGAGAGTCGACTGGGTCCGAATCCGATACAGAGTTTAATGAAAGTAATGTACTAGATCAAATCGAAACTAACGTGGACGATATAGCTGGATATAGAGATATAATACTTCAGTCTATCTCAAAAGGTATGATTATAATATTAATAGAGATATTTGTAATTGACCGGTCAAGTCAGAACATTACGGGCAATACTAAGCATGGAGTACGATCAGACTGTGACAACTCAATCCGTGAAATCTCTCACAAATAGAGTCTCGTAGTGAGTAGGCTATCCACTCCGATAATCGTTACCGATAATTATCTCCGATAATTCGTTAAAAAAGGTTATCTGTTTATCTAGATAAAACATATTTTTATCGGTATAAAAATTCACTAGAAATTACCGAAAAAACTGCCACAATACCGTAAAATTTTAAAGAAATATTAGTGTTTTTTGCCTTCCCAAGTAATCCAAGAAACAGTCCCAAACGTTTTATAGTATGATAGAAGAGGTAGTTTACTTAAATGTGAGCTTAAGAGGTTTATTTACATTTGTATACCTATGGAACTGTAGAACTGTAGAACTGTAGAACTGTAGAAGTCTAGAGAAAGTTATTGACATTGTTATCTTGAAGTTGAGGCTAGGGTGCTGGCGTTCTACCTTACTTGAACCATTCTGGAGACAGGAACGAGCATGTTACTGTTAACAAGAGTCAAAAATACCGGCAGGCGGCAGGGCACTCAATTAAATTCCGTAAGTGTTCTAGGCGTGAAACATTGTCTTCAGGAGAAGGAATCTGTTGCTCCAAGTTATCCACAGGATAAGGAAACGGTTCACTGAATCACTTTAAATGTTTTACTGTTTCGAGGAGAATTGGTATTTGTTGCACTACTGTTCTCAAGAGAAGGATACCGGTGGTCCACTGTTTTGAAGAGAACTGGTGCACTACTGTTCTCAGGAGAAGGAAACCGGTGGTCTAATGTTTTGAAGAGAACTGGTGCACTACTGTTCTCAGGAGAAGGAAACCGGTGGTCTACTGTTTTGAAGAGAACTGGTGCACTACTGTTCTCAGGAGAAGGAAACCGGTGGTCTAATGTTTTGAAGAGAACTGGTGCACTACTGTTCTCAGGAGAAGGAAACCGGTGATCTACTGTTTTGAAGAGAACTAGTGCGTTACTGTTCTCAGGAGAAGGAAACCGGTGGTCTACTGTTTTGAAGAGAACTAGTGCGTTACTGTTCTCAGGAGAAGGAAACCCTTGGTCTACTGTTTTGAAAAGAACTGGTGCACTACTGTTCTCAGGAGAAGGAAACCGGTGGTCTACTGTTTTGAAGAGAACTAGTGCGTTACTGTTCTCAGGAGAAGGAAACCGGTGGTCTAATGTTTTGAAGAGAACTAGTGCATTACTGTTCTCAGGAGAAGGATACCAGTGGTCTACTGTTTTGAAGAGAACTGTTGCACTACTGTTTTCAGGAGAAGGAAACCGGTGGTCTACTGTTTTGAAGAGAACTAGTGCGTTACTGTTCTCAGGAGAAGGAAACCGGTGGTCTACTGTTTTGAAGAGAACTAGTGCGTTACTGTTCTCAGGAGAAGGAAACCCTTGGTCTACTGTTTTGAAGAGAACTGGTACACTACTGTTTTTAGGAGAAGGAAACCGGTGATCTACTGTTTTGAAGAGAACTGGTACACGACTGTTCTTAGGAGAAGACAAACCGTTGGTCTACTGTTTTGAAGAGAACTGGTACACTATTGTTCCCCGGAGAAGAAAACTGATGCTCTAATATTTTCAAAAGAAAGGAAATTGTACTTTAGCAAGATTACTGGTAAACAGTAATAAAAGTCGACAATCAGTTTTTGTGAAATTTGGAAAACATTTTGGCTTTGGCCTTCAGCAGAAAAATTATCGGTTTTATCGGTTTTATCTAGATAAAACCTAAATTTTTATCTGTTTATCTAGATAAAAGATTTCATACCGATAATGGATAGCCTAGTAGTGAGTCCACTTTCATCGGACGTGATATGAAAGATGTCCCATGACAGTCCCACACACGAAACGAAAATACAATGATTATGAATTGCCCGTGCACAGTGGGCTGTGAGTGGGGGTCATGCTAGCATAGGGTATTTTAGACCATCACACATGCCCCTAACTTTGTTTCTAAGGTAATTTGGGTACAAAAATACGATTCCAATCATTTACAGGGCCGAAAATGTCTCAGAAAAAAATTTTGGGCCGATTTTGAGCAATCTTGTAGTACAAAAATAGGAGGCTGATCCCAGGAAAAGTTGTTTTTTTAGAGGTTTAATCAATTTTAAAGCTCTTTTATGAACTGTAAACGAAGGACAGCTATCTTAGGAACTCAAATCTTTTTGAATTATGAAAAAATATTGATCAGAACAAAAGTTGTGCCTATTTATATGACCAAAATTTTCTGAAACACCAAAATTGTTCCTGTTATTTTCAAAAATTTCGTTTAAAATCACGATTTTTTGGATTTTTATCAATTTTAACTATAATAATTGTGATATTTTGATTTTTCATCCATATGCATCTGGTCTAGGGTGCAAAAAATGCCACAAACATGGAGAATAACTAAAATATGTCAATTTTATAGCAAAATTGAGCTCATAAATTATCTAAAAATGAAGCAAATTTTACCCAATTTTTGAGTTTCTTAATTTTGTAAACAGAGTTGCCCAAAACTGCCCAAAGTGATTCTTATTGCATCTGATAGGGAATTGTCTAAGCTTTCTGATGATACCATGCATTATACCGAACTATTGCAAACCAACAACGATTTCTGTCGTTAAATACCCCAAAAATTGCCTAAAATACACGCCATAAAAAAGGCGCGGTCAAAAATCAGGTGAAAATGTTAAAGTCACACATTTTTTTTTAGATGGCTGAGTATTCTGAAGTACTATACTGTATTTCAATTATTAAAAACTGCCTTGATCAAGCATTTTAGCCCAAAATAATAAATATTAGGCAATTTTTGGCTAAAAAAGGCAAAATTTCTTGACTGTGAAAAATGCTATTTTTTCACGCGACGCCATTTTGGCATCTTGCAAAGTTTTTAATTACGGTTTTTTGCATGAAATCGGGCTAGCGTTTTACAATAAGGAAAGCTTATTTTCAAAGAAATTTAAGAAAGTCGATTTTAGGCCTATGCTAGCATGGTAGCCCACTGTGCCGTGTACAATAATCAAAATAATGTTCCGTTTGTACTTCTTGCTATCCTCTAGTCCCTAGGGTTGCAGCTTACTCCGGGTGAGAGGAAAGTTGCCGACTGCCGATTGGTTTATTAATGGCTTTGCAGTCGAGGTCACTCTAGTAGAAACTCTATTTATTTAATAATTTTCAATAATATATAATAATAAAAGCTTGGTGATTTTATCAGGTCAGTCAATGAATTCTGAGACAAATGTTACGCCAGAACCAGTATTTCTGAAGAATCTAGGTCAGAATGGATATCGAGAAGAAAGTTCATCTGATTCTGATGAGGAAACGATATCAGGTAAGGGCAATTTGGAATTCTATCGATGGTCACTTAATTAAATGCACGGTTAAATGTCCTTTCCTTAAGTAACCATATTGATATTGTGCGTTAAAACTTAAACGTGCCTCTAGCGTGAACACACCGTGCATTGAGTCTCCGTTATTTCGGCGTTAACCGTGCCGTAACACCAACTGTACCTTAAGTGACCATCGACAGATTACCGAATTACCCTGCATTTTACTATAGTTCCGACGGACCAAGGCCGCTATTTCACAGGTTTCACAAATACAAATTCATTTTAATGAATTAACAATGATTTATTGGATGGTACCGGGTATTTTATTATTTTGGCCGATTCGTCCTATATAACAGAACATTTTTAGGCGGAAGCAGCTCTAATCGGAATAGGATGGCTAGCACCCCGAAAAATGGAAGTGGGAAGAGGCGTAAGATAAGTAAACCTCTCCTAGCTCTAACTCACGGCAGAATGAACTCGATCATTAAAATATGTAAACAAGAAGTTGGACACAATGTGAAAGTTACGGAGACTCACATTATGAATGCCTTTATAGAACAGGAGAACTTGTTATTGGATTCCGATCACAAAAGGGTCTCAAGATGTGCAAAAAACAGGATTGTGGCGTATGTAAGTTTTCACAATCATAACATAACATTTGTTAGATAATTTTGTCAGATAATTATAAGGCTGTTGCTACCATATTGCTCCAAATCATGACAAGACAAGTAGGTTAGTTATAGGTACTGCATACTAATTTCCAATTATATGATCGTGGTTGACTCTTACTCACACCAATTTGAGCTGTGTTTAACGTTAACCTAATTTTTAGCGGAAGAAACTGAGTGATTTAAAAACGAAAAAAAAAAAACTACCCGCCTTTGGATGACGTTGTATTTGATCTGAAGGGAAATGTAAATCCAGTAGTCTCCCGTGGCCCAAGGTGTCAATTTTCTGAAATGACTCGTGAAGGACAAAGAAAACGAATAACAAAAAGTTTTGACCGAATCCAAAACTCTATAATTCAGGTTGGTCCAATTTTTTTATAACTAAGGAAAGAGAATGTCACGCTTTACCCAATCATTTAATGTCATCATTGACTTAATTTACTAATTATATCAATATTCTTAACATAGCAAACGCCTAGATCTGTGAGGAAGACGATATTCCTCAAGCTGAAAAAGAAGTATTGCAGTGAAAATATTAAAAAGGGTCCATCCGGGATTGAAACTCTTGTAAGTATTTGTTCCACCGTTGTCAACTCGATTATATGCTTCCCGTTATAAGGATCGCTGCCTTTTTTCCTCTTTTTGCAGCCTCAATATAAGCGTGAGAACGTCGTACGAGTGAGCCCCACTTTATTCAAGAAACCGGATTACATATTTAGTCACAGCTGAAATCAAACAATGATTTAATACAGGCTCACATGGTACAACTCAACGCCACCAAGCGAACTTCGAACGGCATCTCCAAATTTACAAAGAAGTTCGGGTTGTATGTACCTGGAGAAAGAGTTATCCGCAAAGAAAAGAAGAGGCGCCTGCCAGGCTATCATATGGACAGGTTAATAGAAGCACGATTGTCAACTTACAATTTATAGTATATTTACAGTACATGTTTTAAAGTTAATTTTCCCAGGAAGTATCGGTTTTTACGACCGCATCTAACATTAACACCGTTTGATACCTACACATTCTATTCCTTCCGTAATCATGAAACTAATTTAAGGTTTATAAAGTTTGTGGCACTTTGCTCGTATGATCATGAGCATGTCTCATAGAATTGAATATCACATTTCATTCCAATATCGCATTTAACTTATAATCACTTATTATTTCTACAGGTTCATTGACACAGGGAATGAAGAAAAATTGCCGGTTGGGGTTTTTGTAAAGCGGCGGCATATGGTTCTTCTTACCATTAAACAGCTCATCGAGCTTAACAAGATATGTGTCAGGGACACGCCTCCAGACACCAATCTTATCCTTCACATGCAATTTAATCAGGGTATGTTTGTGTTAATAAGTTAATACTTGCAAATCGCAATATTCTAAGTGTTTAATATTCCGCTGCATTCCATGAGTATAGTTTACTTACTTTAGGTTGGTTTGGCAGGGTCGCTTCTGGACAACAGTAACTAGTACGTCCTCCATTCATTCCTGGTTCAGATCTTTCTGTAAATTCCATTCCAGCAGTGAGTTGTTGGTGATGGCGGTGTATCCTTTGGTTGGCGGGGTTTATCATTATCATTTGTAGTTTTAATATTGATATCTTTACAGGATTTGATGGTGCCAGTTCGCATCCCCAAATTTTTGATCAAGAATCCATAAAACTCTCAAAAGTGGGTCATAGTCTGAAGTCATGCCAGACATTTGCGATAGTCCTAAAAACTTGTTCAACTGCCGTAGAAAATGACGTAAGCTACATGATATTATTTGTTTCAGGAATTCTTACAATAATATCATTTCCTTAAATTTGATTCTGAATCTGATTCAATGATATTTCAAAGTCTACCTTCTAGTGCCACGTTGACCTGTATAGTTACGTGACCATCTTTGGCGCCCTTTATTCTCCAGTTTTATGCCACTTAGGCCTGTTTTCTTCTCCTGCGGTCTAAATAGGTGTTATGTTTCATGTTTACTTTAAGCCTACGGGTCACTGAAATAGTTGTTGGAAGAGGAATGCCGCGTTATTTGTTTATTTTGGAGCAGGGAGCATATTGAGGGAGAAGTTCTGAATTAGAGTGTTGCGGACGTCTTAATTGGATTACCGGAGAAAGAATTTAGTTCTTGTCTATAAAAATATTTCATACTAACTAATTACCTGGGGACCTCAGGCTATCATGTTCATAAATAGAGCGCGGCCCAGTAAACTAACTAACTCTAAGTCTAAGAACACTAGAGTGCTAAATGTTTCTACTTTGCAGTTGGGCGACGGTAAAAATGACGCGACTCCCATGAAAGAGCTGTACAAATGCACCAAACCAAACTCATATAAAATTATGAAGGTGTTAAGTTTGGTCATGGAAGCAGAGTCTGCAGATCTCCAAAAATTCCTAATGGAGAAGTTAGTACAACATCTAATCGAAATTTATAATTATATGATTTGTGGCTATATCTACTTAAGGAACTTAACTTTAATCATTAGCGTACAATCGTACATCGGTACATTTGTTGATGTCCGTCATTTAGTTTATCTTGAATATCCTTATTTATTTTAATATATTTAATTTATATATTAAGCATGTTGAATATTCGATGAAACTCCAATTCCAAGATGCCATATATGGCATAACGATATTTCAAACCGTAATTTCAACCGTGTTAATGATAATCGGCAGATACCCCGACGGAAAGGAAGTTTATACGTTTAAAATGGGCGAGAGGAAGGTGATAGTGTACAGTGAGTACTCGACATGCATGGTGGACGGGAAGTCGCGGAAGGCTATGATGGGTAGAGGGGGGGCATACTGTTACCACTGCAGCACCACGATAGAAGACTACCACACCCCAGCAGGAGTGAGGGTTGAGGTACGATTTTTTGTTAAACTTTGACTTTAAGCTGTGATCATTAAGATTTGATTATTGATGCCCTAAAATTATTCATTATTTACTTACTTCGCTGTGTTTATCCGTGGAGCCGGAAGTGTCATCAGATATCAGACCATCTGGATGGCGAGTAGTCAACTGCAGTGAGTTTGACCAACTGCAGCTGTAGCCGGTGACCGGAGGGTTGTCCGGTATCAAAGCAAGAAAGTTCGACAAACTACACAAAGGATGTATCAGCCTTTACTGTGTGAGGCACCTTGTCTGTGTGACTGTGAGGCACTGTTATCTTAATAACACACGCGGGGCGTCGTTATTATTTCAGGACTCTTTCATTGAATACAACACAAAAGAAAAGATGGGGGAGTACAAAAAGTATTTAGCAGCTAATGGACTAATCGATGTAAGCGAAAAAAGTGGTGAAAGGGACGGTTGGACACAAATACCTTATGGTCTCCCGGAAGGCGTGGTCGTTACCCATGCTTCTCTTAATATCGCTAAATGGGTGGTTCAACTTGCTACAAAAGCAAACATGTAAGTATATTGCTTGAAGGAATTTAATCGTATCTTTCATTATATCGCACTTTTCACTGATACTGTACAAATAATTGACGTCTCTAAAATGTTTGGATCCTGATTATATTTCTATTAGCAAAATAACTGATAAACAATGTTTAAGAGCGTAGTGTGTGCACGCTGCACTGTTTTGTGATTTACAACGTCTTAAGTCTAAGATATACGAGCAAATTATCAATTTTGCTGTTACTGTTTTGTTCAAGAATCTTAACTCATGATCGCTAAAAATACAATTTGCAGTTATTCGACTCAGTCGTATACAGGAACTAAAACGTGGGAGATGAGGGGAGAATTTCTAAAAGCTCAGTTCAAGATTGAAGAGGACAAAATTCTTGTCGCGGTGAGTTAATTTGGCAAGCTATATCGCCGGTTAACGGGTTAATGATTAAATAAAAATCTAATGTGGCTAACTAAAATATATTATATACAAATTAGTTAACAAACTTTAAGTTTTAAGCAATCCGAAAATAACATACTAAATCCATATCATCCTTAACATATATTTGTTTGTGTGCCTACATTAACTAATAGTAATAAGTTTTCTTGTCCTATATAATAGGTTATCGTTTTCTTTCTTCAGTTAAAGCAAGGACCGCAGAGGCTGACGTTAAAGGATGTTGGACATGGGAATACGGGTAGTGGTCTTACAGGTTTAAATCTAGATACATAATTAGTAATTACTAATTTTACAAACGCTGTTGTAAATTCATAGCATCCTGTACTATTACTTTTAATAATTAGCATGCAATACCAGCACAACGGCAGTACAGTAATTAATGTAACGATAAAATAGAAATAAGGGAGCTAAGATTCTAAACATGTAACAAAACTGCACTAACCTCTTGATAAAATTAATTTTATTTTAGGAAATCACGCGAAGAAATTCCTTTGTTATGCCTATAGCGTCCTACCGCCACTTTTGAAAGACGAAGGCGATGGAAAAAAAGTGGGGAAGATCGCGGAGCTCCTCTATGTAGTCATTAGAGTCCTTAACACGGGGAAAGAGATAGATCTGACAGTTTATAAACATTTATGCCACACGATCGGTATACTAGTAATAAATCATTTTCCCTGGGCAAGAATGAATGAAACATTACATGATGTGAGTCAGATATGAACAGTTCATTTGTTTACTGTGTAATCTAAATTGCGTCGGTCTTTCGGCAAGGTCACTCCTCATATAACATTCAATCGATTTCGCGATCATTTATTAATGATTTAGCTGAGTGGACCAGAGGAGATTGCATAGTAGTCCCAGGTGCTCTCCTAGCAGTAGCTGGTCCTAATCCAATAATGAATAACTTAGTTAAGAATTAACACTTAGTTACATTTCCAGTACTAAGTAACTTATTAAAATGAGTTTTGTCTCAGGTTCTGGCACACAGCTGGGAAATTATAAAGAACAACAAATGTCGTGGCCTCAAAAATATGTCGGAGGAGGGAATAGAATATATGCAAAAAGATGTCCGAAATATAAGGTAAGCACTTTTATTAATAATAATATCACCGTTTTTCGTCGTTTATTGCAGAATAAATTTTAATAACGTACGTCCGATCCAAAATTGCTAGATTTATTCTTTCACGCTCCAGCATAATCCAGGAGATCTCTGAAGTCTCGTTTCTCTTCGTATTACGTAGATCAGAGATTATTACATAATTGATAAACAGTATAAATTACAGGAGTTCCCGGTCTTGGCTTGGAAACTACGCCAAAAATCTGGGCCAGACACTAGAAACATCGATTTTGCGTGGCGATCTGTTCCTAAATCACATTGTTGAAGGAATTCCTAGAGCAAGTTTAAAAGAGGTAATCCAATTTCTTACAGACATAGAGTCTGTTGCAATATGCTGCACCTAGCTATAAATTCCACCCTAATTTAAGGACTCTTTGATCTATAGCTTCCAGCGTCTCTCTAATATATTTATCGATTTAGTCCCAAAGCACTAAACAGAAATCTGAGACGATACAATTTTGCGCTTGTAAATAGACATTTATTTTTATATACAAGTCAAAGATTATAATTGTATTCTTTTATAGGGACGGCATAGTAACGGTAAACTTAAAAAGATCAAGTCCTTATATCCAGCCGACGTTATAAGTTCCTCGGAGTTAGGCGGGCTAAATTTCTTGAAAAAGGCCATTAGAGGATTTACAGAATCCAGCGATGAAGATGACTGAAAGTGAAGATGTACGTGCTAAGTCAGTCAACACTCGAATTTAAACATTTTAAAAACTGTATCGACGATTTGATATGATATTGTAAGAATATGATATTTCATTGCATGCTTTAGTTAAGAATTGGGTTAGGGCTTTACATTCTTCTTTCTCGGAGTCTATAGTCGATATCTTTAAACATAGATATCGACTACAGACTCCGAGAGTCTGAAAGCTCTGTTGCCATCACCCCTGGTGCAACCCCGTCGGGTTAAAGACGGAGAGACAGGGACTTCCAGGAGATATCATGGCCTCATGCTATGTGCAACTCGTAGGAGTATGCAGTGTTCCTGGTGGGTGTTACTTCTAAATCTGCTAAATGGAATCATCAAACAGTGGATACACAGTTGCCTAGGTACTGTCATAAGCGGAAACTTGTCTCTGGCCCTCACTTAAGTATTTATATTTCGAACCACACAGTGTCCATGTCCTGCTCCTGAATATTTCCATACCTGTAATCATGTAACGTCACTGCAGACCGCTCCTATATCCTTGCATTCAGTTTCCGAACCCTAACCAAATCCTGGGTTACTCTAAACGTGGTCAGTGGTAGCCTGTGAGCGTGTAAGCCGCTCCTTTATTGTTTATATATATCGGTATTTTGATTGTCCGATCCAAAATTAAATCGTGGGTTCCCACGAGACGTGGTAGCCTGTGAGCGTGTAGACCGATCTTCTTATATCGTTGTTTTGAGTGTCCGATTCAAAACCAAAACTTAGGGTTACATGATCATGAAACTTGGAGCCTGTGAGAGCGTTAGTTTCCTGCGGAAGGAGTTATTTGATCATGCTTGTGGAAAGAGCAGTTATGCTCTAAGGCCAGTAGAAGTTATTAAAACATTTCCTTTGTTTTAGAGATGGGTAGTCTTTACCTTTGCGTAGGTTATATTGTTAGAAACACGTACCTACGCATATAAGATTGCGCGCGTCACGCGCATTTTGTTCAATTTAAAGTCAATGATTTTACCAATCTAGTATAATTTGTATGTACCTTTGATGAACGTTTTAGTTCTGAATATTTTCCTGCCTATACTTGAAACTTTGACTGTATTGTTAATTAGAAAATTTCTGATCATTTCGTGTAAATATGCCCATTTAGTTTTACTTATTTCATATGTTAAACGAAAAGGATAGGAAGGACCTACAACATGACTCACGGACTCAACATGCGAAACGTGGATCCGACAGTGTGTTATTTTTCGTGTGCGTTTCACACTTTTGATTTAGTGTGGAATTTATGTGTGGATCTTAGGCATGGACACAAAGGACTGGTTGTTCGCGTCATGAACATTCCTTTTTAGAATAGCTCGGTTTTTAAACTCTTTAGACTATAACCGTCAACCGTGCATTTTTCAGGACAGGTTTCGGTTTTTTCGTTTTTGACTTTCATTTTATCTTTATTTTTTGAAATTTAGATCCGACACAATGTTTATTGTAATGATCATTTTATTTTGAAATCCTTTGAAATCCTTTGAAATCCTTGAAATCCTATGTTATGATCAAAACAAAATGGAGGACTTTTACTTGTTTTAAAATGCACTTAACTCTATTTACAGTTAAGCTAGAAATTTCAAAATTGCTAGATAATGATATTTAGACCAATAATTATGTGTTGTATTAAAAATCATACTAAAAGGATTGTTCTTGAATTTATGAAAAGCATTTAAAGAGTGCTTATAATATATATCTTGTCAAAACGCGCGAAAACGCGCAAAATACTTAGTTTGCAATTTGCGCTTTTGCAGCCACTGTGAGTCTTCGCCATTTATTAAAAACAAACATGTTCTGAGATATACTTGTCATGAAACAACTTATTCAATTTTAAAATTATCACGAAATGTGGAATATTTGAAATTACCATTTTTGCAACTTGTATGTAATAGAAATTCGAATTCATTTCACTATATATAAAACGAGACGATATATATAAATGCATTTTTTGCCCGTAATAGCATTTACTATTTTATGTTTTATTTAATACGGACATTATTTGCAGCACTTTGCCGCGGGCCAATATTTCGATAAAAAGTGGCGCGCGCTATTTAAAAATTCAACTGCCAAGCTTCGCTGTGAAGTGTAAAAAGTGTAAAAATATTTTAGCAACAACTTGGGGTGAATTTTTATTGTCACTCAATTGAGTTGACACACGCTGCAACACTTTTTGATCGGTATCGCATGCACGAGGTAAGTATACAACATGTGGCAAAGATATCAGTGATCATATGTGATGATAATTACATGTATATTAATTCACAACAATGTATATGCAATGCAAATGCATTTGGAGGACTTCGCCGCTTCGACGCGCCGAGAAAACTAGCATTTTTGCTTTGCAGAGCAACGATCTCGATGGGTTGACATCGTCAATCAACAAATGCATGAAACGTTAAATCTAATTTTAACATCAAAACATAACATGTTTAATAATTAAATCAACAGCATTTCTTTCGTTTTATTTGATTCCATTTTATTTAATTTGATTGACGATGTCAATCTTTCGTAGTTCATGCAAGGTTTACAAGGTTTACAAGGTTTACAAGGTTTACAAGGTTTACAAGGTTTACAAGGTTTACAAGGTTTACAAATATAATCTATATATTACATGCATGCATAGTGGCCCAATTTTTTTGCACAGTCTAGTGGTGTGATTTCAATAATGAATTAAAAATTTTCATGCGCAGTTGTGCATCGCAGTTGTGCAATGCGCTACAAGCATTTAACCATATTTTTGAGTGTTTAGGGACTTTTTTATATTCTTAAAGGTTTGATTTTATATAGGGTCATTGCTATATTATGTGTATATTGTTTGAATAATTTTATTTTTAACCATATAACAATATTTGTTTCAAAATATTGAAGTGGTTCATGTTTATAGCTGTTAAAATGGCAGTGTTCATACTACATGCTAGGCTCTATTTTGACGGTTACAAATAATATTAATCGGACGATTAATGATTCGAACCAATAGTCATTAATTCAGTAGAATCCACTTTCATTTGGTATCCAGACAGTAGAATTCTTTTTATTTGTTAGATATACAATGAAATCGGCTTTAAAACATGTCGATTTAATAATTATTTCGAAACGCATACTTTTCTACCTATTCACTTGGTATTAGTGCGATCTATTGTGGCTACTTGGGTGATGACTATTGACTGTGACCGACGAGTCTTTGTTGTGAATGCGAGCTGTAAAGTTAAAATTGCTTTCAGTATGTTGTTAGAGTAAATTCTTCGATTTCAGCCAACCAGATCGTCTTAAATTTTACACCAGCACATGGCAGACGTGACCACAACTAACCGAATTTTTAATTATTGGAAGGAAGCTTTCTCATTTTTAACCACCCATGCGGTTGTACTCAGCAAATTGTGTAATAATCTTGAGGATCTCTGTGAAGATTTTATTTCAAATCCACCTTTGTGACGCTTTTGCCAGTATTAAGGGAGAGTAAATTCCTTCTTTGGTATCTCTTCAGAGTTGAACGTTGAAATAAATATGTTTCTGGGTTTGAATTTGGATGAATATACTGAAATTCACTTAAATCGTTCAATGAAATAAATTTTCAAGCATTTGTTTATGTTTCTCTCCGTGTAGTTTCCCCGTATAGTTAACGACATTGGGCTTCCAAATGGGTATGAAGTTCTTCGACTTGGTTCCTGTAATAAACCTCCTGGTAGCTCTCCTTCAAGACTCCTATTCCCAATGTGCAGAGTCGTGCTATACAAACAAAATCTAATATTTATTTCATAAGTTGAATTATTATCATTATGATAGGAAATGTAAATTGTCCTAAATCTGTCTTGCGGTATCCTGCACTGTCATTCTCTGACGAGACAGTCTGACCCTCCTGAACTTTAATGCTTTTGACATCTCAACAGATTTCCCACCATCAAACTTCGGGCCAAGGAAGTACAGCAAAGTCTTTTCCTTTCTATGACAGTGGTCAGAGTTTGGGTGGAGAAACTGTTTGCCTTGCATTAAGGACCCAGGTTGATTTGATTGAATGTATATATGGGCATGTTCATTTGAGTTTGAGGATATTGGTAAATATTAGTGGCCTTATTAAGGCATGGTGTAGTTGACTTTGTCACACTATGAAATCAACTATCATCGAAAACGCTATTATTTTTGTTTACCATTATCCTCAAACTCAAATGAACGTGTCCACATATTGTTTGATTTCAACCTTTTCTGTCAGATGTAAAAAAGGACCCAGTTAAGCCATCTTAATTAATAGGTGGGATCCTGAAATTTGAAGTGCTTTTCATTGCTCAATCAGAACAAGGTTATTGAAACACCTATAAAGGTTCAGGTCAAATGTACACTGATTGTGCTTTTGATTATTCCTTCTATTGGGGGAAGGGATCAATAGATAGCCTCTTCTAGTGTATTCATTGGCTGTTTTGATTGTTCAGGCTGTATTTTAGTTTTTAATCAACAAAATGTGAAGAAAGTCAAAACAAAACAGGGCGGAAAACACCCTGCAATCGTGAATTGTGTCTTAGAACTCGATTAATTATGATTATAGAAATTTTAAAGATAAGATTTTTGAATATATCTAATTCTGGTCACTTATAATAAAATATAATTGTATTGTTTTAATTCTTGGTAGTACTTACACATGATTTTGCAGTAGATACATCACAATTGAGATAATTGTCTCAGTTGCAGGTTTGTTGAAAACTCATGCCCTGTTGAAATGTCCTGAACAGCAGCAAAGCAACATCGTCTTGGTTTGTGATGAGTGAGGAAGCCTCTGGTAATAGTGGTGCAGCTGGTAAACGTGTTAAACGTTCATCATCCAAGTATGAAGCTGCTGAAGGGAACATTGTTCCAATTGAGCAAAGACTGCATCCAGTGATTAAAACGTTTGACTTTACAACCAACAGATTACAATTCATTCAGCACAAAATCATGAAAGTGTTGTGGAAAAACAGATTCTGTTGGCCATTTCAGAAAGCTGTTGATGCAGATGAGCTTGGCATTCCTGATTATTACAATGTTGTTAAGAATCCCATGGACCTTGGTACTGTCAAGCGAAAACTTGAGAACTTTGAGTATCAGATGGGGGATGAGGCTTTGACAGATATCAGACTTGTGTTTGATAATTGTTTTCTTTATAATAAACCTGATGATGATATTTACTCAATGGCAAAGGACCTTGAAACTGTTTTCGAGTCAAAAATGAGGGATTACCCTGACCATGAGCCTGAACATCGCATCTTGAAAACTCCTGCTGGAGTGAAACCTACCACTAAGGTTGTTCCTGCAACTACAACATCCGACTTGACTCCTGCTCGCACATCAGTTTCATCAGTTAAACCTGCTAAATCTCAGCTCAAAAAGGGTGTAAAGAGGAAAGCAGATACAACTACCCCAGAATCCAGCGATCAAGTTAGCACCACCACTCATTCTCCTGTAATTTCAAAAGCTGGCAAGAATAAAGCTTCCAAGAAGGTTTTACTCCCACCCACTGTTCCCTTTTCATCAGCTTCTAACAATGAACTAAAGAACTGTATGACATTAATCAAAGAATTGGTAGGTCGAAAACATTCAAATTATGCATGGCCATTTTATACTCCTGTGGATGTGAAAGGTTTGGGTTTGCATGATTACTTAACTATTATCAAAGAGCCAATGGACTTGGGTACTCTTAAGCTTAAATTGGAAAACGGACAGTACAGCTCAGCTTTGGAATTTGCTAGAGAAGTCAGATTAATATTCAGTAATTGTTATAAGTATAATCCACCAGATCATGATGTTGTTGCTATGGCAAAAGAACTTGAAGTTGCATTTGAAACAAGATTTGCTAAGATTCCTCTTGGAAATCATATTTCAAGTTCTAAACCCAAAGTCAATTCCTCTATCAAGGTCACTCCAGTTAAAAATGGTTTGGCTACATTACCTCCCGCAAAACCAAAGTTTCAAACACCTGTTCTCCCTTCATCAGATAGCTCAGATCATGCCATTGATTCAGATGACGATTTATATGGTAAAAACATTCAGTTACTGCAAGATCAAATGAAAGTAATTAAAGCTAAGCTTGCTGAATTGGAATCATATAAAGCCTCTTCAAAAGTAAAGAGGACACCTTCAATGGCCACTCCAAAAACTAAAAAGGCTAGGACTCCAAAAGAGCCCAAGGTTTCCAAGAAAGCCCAAAAAGTCATTTCTACACCAAAAGGTACTAAGGTAACAGCCAGTAAAGCTAAGCTACAGGAAACTCTTGTCCCAACAGTAACATCTACTACACCTATTGCTATGTCCTATGATGAAATACGTCAACTTAGTATGGATATCAATGGACTTCCAGGTGGAATGTTGGGCAAAGTAGCCCAGATTATTCAGTCTCATGAGCCTAATCTACAAGGTAAGGATGCTACTCCTGGTGAAATTGAAATTGACTTTGAGACTCTTAAACCTGCAACATTACGAGGTCTTCAGCAGTATGTGGTTGACTGCCAAAAAGAGATGAAAAGAGCTCCATCGATCAAAAAAGGTGCTACCCACACTACTAAAGAGAAAAAGAAAAAGAGTCAAGAGGTTGAGCAACGTCCTAAGGAAACAAAACCACCAAAAAAGAGTGTTGCTAAACAGAAGCCCAAGCCTCAGAACATGTCTCGGCTCAGCTCAAGTTCTAGCTCTGATTCCATTGGAGAAGGATCTAGCTCTGGAGAAGAGGTGAGTTCCGTCAAAGCTGTTCAACCTCCAGCAGCTCCACCCTCTGTTCCGTCTGTAGTACCACCTGCAGCTCCCTCTCCAGTTCTGTCTCCTCCCGTTCCATACATCCCAAAACCACAAGCTGAGCTCAAACCTATTGAAATTCCCACCAAGGAACAAAAAGCTGCCTCCTTAAAATCATCCCCCTTGAAATCATCCCCCTTGAAATCATCCCCCTTAAAATCGCCTGATATTTCATCAGAACTATTATCATCAGAAATATCAGAAAGTGATGTTAAGTGCTTTGCTGACCCAACAGCGCAGGAGATCTACAATCTTAAGAAGCAAGAAGATGATCATGAAATCTCCTTCGACATGAACAAATCGTTGGAGCTAGAAAAGAAACCATCTTTAAACAACTGGGGTAGCTTAGCACAAGAAAACATCACATCCAATCCAGTTTTGAAGACTTCCCGATTTGAGGAGTTTAAGAGGCAGGCCCAAGAAAGGCTAGAACGACAAAAGGCTCTACTGCAGCAGGAGGAAAACATGAAAATGGAGAAAGAGCGTCAGGAAGCTGACAGAAAGCTTGAGGAGGAAGAAAAACAGCGGGAGCGAGAGGAAGAGGAAGCTCTAAACTCAATAGTTGAGAGGAAACCAGTTAAACCACCCACACCTCCCCCACTTCCTCCTCCACCTCCTGTAGTGCAGGAGAAGACAAAACAGGAACTAGAAAGGGAAAGAAGAGAGAAACTTAGAGAGGAGCAGCGCAGACAGAGGCAAAGCATGATGCCGTCCATTGACATGAACATGCAAGCAGAAATAATGCGTACCTTTGAAACCAGCCATCATCTGTGACTCATGTAATGCGCGTTCAAATTTGTATTATGTTATATTTAAGTGATATGAACGAGTTGATTGCTTCACTTGTTTTGGGGCAGTCAGCAAGTTAATGTTGTGTTATTTCTATGCAGTAAATTATAGCTTTGTCTTCATAGTATAGTCAAAACAGTTTGGAAATTTAAGACACCTTGATCATGATTGGTCGTTCATGTCTGTTGAGTTGATGTTTTGAGATAACAAAACTCTGCTTTCAATTACAGGATAATTGAGATTTCTGATTTAGTGTCTTTGAGATTTTGTGCCACTTATAAGAATGTACATTTTGATATGGTTATTACTTATCGCATAAATTATGGGCAATTCGGTAGTATCCTGTAACATGATCAGAACAGAATTGGCGTTTTTTTCTTTCCAGTTCAGAAACCGAGTAAGGAGGTGCGGCTACTGATGAGAAGCCTCCTTAAAGTTATTTGGGTTAGAAACGACATCTGGGTCCCTACCCTCGCACAAGATTATTCTCAATTTTCTTGTTGTGTCCACAACTAAACTCTAAATAGGACACTTTTCTAAGCATGTTGGAACTGAAAATGCCAATTTTGTACTGTAAGTAAGTATGGAATTGCCTATAAATATTAATCGAGGCCTAATTAAAGTTTGCAACTTCTCCAAGTTCAATCAGTGAAGCATACCAAAGTTGTGAAGTCCATCGACTTGATTAAACATAATAACCAATTCAACAAATTTCTAGCTGACACTAGCTGCTCATTTCCAGATGATTTTAATCAGAAAATTTTTCCCTTAACGTGTACATCAAGACTGTTAGGCGTACGATTTTGTTTTTTAATTGGTTGTTTCTTGTAAAACATTTTAAAAGCAGTGTTAAAATGCGATGTGTTCTTCTTCCACAGTATACAGTATACAGTATACACACAGTATACTCAGTATACACTATGGACATGTTCAAACCTGGTTGGTGGTTTTGTTTCACTGCCAAAATGGGCGATTTTCTCATTTTTACAATAACTCCATTAATAATTACTCCATGGTCTTGAAACTTTCAGAGATGATTATAATTGTGATAACAAATAGTCTCAGGTCATCGGCTATGAATAATATTGTAAAATGGCCCAGTTATGTTGAAAAATGTAACATTTGGTTACACCTTTCAATGGCTCAGCCAATTATTAAATTTTAAAGATTCTTGCTTCACAAAAATGTACTTTAGGTATTTGCTTAGCTGTGGAATGAAAAAAGGCCCACTTTTGATTTCATAAAAAGGCCCAAAATGGACATTTTGTAACATCTTGTTTTCATGAATCTATCTTTATAGTTTGTTACAACCACAGCTAGTGTAGGATATGTATTTAACTCTCAAACCAGGTTATTAGTGCAGCAATTCTTGTATAAAGGCATTACCACAATCTTGGTATATGGTTCATAATCAATAAAGGCCCATTTCTTTGAATAACGTAACATGGTTACAAATGAGTATGTTATACAGAGTTGTTTGATCTAGTATTGGTTTTAAGTTGGTTGATGCATTAAAATAAAGACATGAAACAACTTAACAAATTTAAAAAATGATAATTGGGACCAAATTATTGAATTTTGTAACAATTTAAATGTAATGTAATTTAAATTGACAATCCGCGACAGAACGTGGTAAATTTAATCAAATGAATATGGCTAATTAGATTAAAGGTTGGATATTTAAAAACTTTTAATTTGTATATCAAATTGTATAGAAGATAGAAATTGGGCCCTATATATTGAAATTTGTAACAATAAAATGCTAGGTCACGAGTTTATCCACTGAAATGGCAGAGTTCCATGTCCATCTGTGGACTTACAAAATTCAATGTTTTGGGCCCAAGTACAAAATATGGTCAATAATATGGTTGATGGAACCCTTATGACCTAGGCAAACTGGTTCTGAACTTCAAAAACTATAATATAGCTTGCCTAACACCCCTCACACTAGGATACATACTATATATAATATACTGTATACATTTACTTTCTAATGTTACATTATTCAAGTTCCGCAGCCATTTTATCAAATTATACGAATAAGGATTGCTTTACAATTCTGTATGAGAATCTAAAAACCATGTTACCAGTACAAGAATTTATTGAACAGTCCAGATTATATGAGCTTTGTAGTCAAAACATAAATATGTTACAAAATTCAATGTTTTGGGCCCAAGTACAAAATTTGGTCAAGAATATGGTTGATGGAATCCTTTGTGACCTGGAAAAACTGGTCTGAACTTCAAAAACTATAATATAGCTTACCTAACACCCCTCACACTAGGATACATACTATATACACTTACTTTCTAATGTTACATAATTCAAGTTCCGCAGCCATTTTATCAAATTATATGAATAAAGATTGCTTCAGAATTTTGTATGAGAATCTAAAAACCATGTTACCAATACAAAAATATATTAAATATTCCAGATATGACCTTGGCAGTGAAAACATAAATATGTTACAGAATTCAATTTTTTGGGCCCAAGTACAAAATTTGGTCAAGAATATGGTTGATGGAACCCTTTGTGACCTAGAAAAACTGGTCTGAACTCGAAAAACTATCAAGAAGCTTCTCTAAAAACCCATTGAAAAAGTGTAACATAGAAATGTGTTACAAAATTCAATATCCAGGGCCCCCAACTAAACTGCTATATCTCAGGACCTGAATATGTTACAAAAATTCTGATTCAAGGGTGCCCTCAGTCAAAGGGTCTAGTTTTTGTCAAAAGTTTCAGTTTTTCTTAAAATGTTACAGATTTCAATCTGGGGGCCCAGAAGTAATGAGTGGGAAAAATGAAACAAAACCACCAACCAGGTTTGAACACGTCCCTATACACTGGCACATGTATCGTCAATAATGTAAATCTTTTAATTTTTTACAACACTTCCATTGGTATCATTCGAGTCTTTACTTCCAGAATTGTTGTACATTCAATCAATCTACTAAAATATATTCAAAGTATCTATTGAAAAATGAATGAACTTGAAATTGACAAAAAAGGAAAGCAATTAACTCACTAACAATCTGTACCCATTTCCCCATGTAAAGATGGAATTCCTGGTATCAGATAGATTTGGTGGATTATGTATCTCACTGGGGACTGGAATGATATCTTTTCTCATCACGTGGTACCTTATCCCTGAGCTGTCCCATCTTTTTCTATCCGCTAACTTGGCTGGAAAGGATCTGAATAAGAGGCTTAATGATTATCGAGTGTAAGATAAGATTATATTTGGGGGATTTTATTGCATTTTAGAATTAGTTTGACTGCCATCTGGAGATATACCTTATATCTACTATCGACATGTCATTTCATTTCCAGTTTTAAGCATGATAACATTCAAACAATATTTTTATTTATTTATTTAATATTTTATTTACAATCTATTTATTCATTTATTTAACAATAATTAAAAGAATTATAACGCAGGCCTGAAGGAGTTGGCGTCATAGCCGGAGCAATATATCTTGTGTGTTTGTTTTGTATGATCCCTTTTTACGTTTTACACTCTAAAGATGATGCCTCTTCGACCATGCTTACTGTAAGCTTAATTTAAATCATTCATGTCAATATTAATTCATGTTAGCTCTAGCTATTTGATTTTAGTATTCATAGGAAGTCTTGTGAATTATCGTCAAATTTAAAATAAACTTGTAACTCTGTCCGTTGTAATGACTTAATCTTTCTTCAGAATTTATCACTATATCTAAGTGCGTTATTGTCTATCTGTTGTATGATCCTCTTGGGCTTTACTGACGATGTCCTAAACTTACGATGGAGGTAACTATCTCAAACTTATAATCTTTCGTATTTTTTAATTAAGAGTTGGTTTCTTTTCCAAGCATTGTAACCTTATATTAACAAGATAATTTTGATAACTTCTTGGGTTTCAGGCCTATTTTATGATAATAACGTCTTACATTTAGGCACAAACTAGTCCTACCCACGATTGCCTCACTGCCAATCCTAATGGTGTACTACGTGACATATGGAAACACTAACATCGTCATGCCTTTTCCTGTACCACAACTCTTCAATGTAAATGTCTTTGATTTAGGTTCGAATTCGATATTCTACTGCCAAGCACGCTTCATTTCTCTCAACATTTTCATAATCCGTTACATTTATTTTTATAGTAGTTTTGATGCACATATTATTGTGACAATAATGAATTGATAACACGTTATTCTCACCTCAGGTATACTCTACTATGTTTACATGGGAATGTTGGCCGTCTTTTGTACAAATGCCATCAACATTCTTGCCGGTAAGAACTATTCTCTTAATTGATATTTTTGGCGGCAACTATTCTACCATTTATTTTGATACTTCATACATTGGTTATATTATCAGTTTTAAACCTTATTCAACATTCAAGCCTTTTAAATTCCGTTTGCACTGCAACGAGATGATATTTTTGTATCTCAGGTGTAAATGGAGTGGAATGTGGCCAGAGTATAGTAATAGCTATCTCAGTATTACTGAACTCTCTACTCAACCTGAACTCGGAGTGTTGGAATGAACACATGTTTTCACTGTACCTGGTGTGCCCCTTCATCGGTGTTTCCTCAGCAGTTCTTTATTATAATTGGTAAGATGAGTAAATCTAATTCAATTTCTTAACGTTCAAGTTTGTATCGTAGTCACGTCCACCGAAATAAGCTGCAAAAAGGTCTACTGATAATTTTGGCGGCACGCGCAAAATTCAAATCTTTATAGTGAAGCCGCTTCGTAGACATTTAAGACATGGAAAAATTTGCGCGCGCGGTTTCATCGGTGGCCACATATGATTCATTCCATTGAGCGCGATGGCACCTGTTGCGTGTCACTTTCTTTGCCAGTATTTGAACTGCTACAGGACGGTGACTTCATTTGAACACAGTCATATTCTAGAGAAACTTACGTAACTTGAGCTTAGCAAGCTGCGCCTTCATCGACATGCTTTCACAATTCTAGTCACGCGATGCAGCTTACAACACATCTAGCTTTCGGATAAATTTTCGGAATCCGCTGTGAAGTAACTCCTATTTAGGGTTCATAATTAATAAAGTTTTTGATGTGGTTGGGAGTTTGGTTTTGGTTTCCGTAATGGTTGTTTGCAGGGAGATGCATTTCAGTACAAGTACATCATTTGAGTACATCAGAAACGCGGGAAATTTCCCATAGAACACCTCACTTTGACTTACACTTCATACTTGAACTGTCCTGCTAGAAATATTCGAATATTATTTAAGTTTCATCGAAAAAAGCCACGACTTTAACACGACTATCCTCAGGTATCCTTCGAAAGTATTTGTGGGAGATACATTCTGTTACTTCGCTGGAATGACATTTGCTGCTCTTGGTATCCTAGGACACTTCAGCAAAACAATGCTGATGTTCTTTATACCCCAGATATTCAACTTTGTTCTGTCTGTTCCGCAGTTGTTCCACTTTATACCATGTCCCAGACATCGCCTGCCGAGGTTTAACACTTTTCGTGCTACTAACAGTTTTCTTGCTCTTTATAGAACATAATCAAGCAAAATTTAGAGGGAAAACGCCTTCCCAGTCGAATCTATCAAACAGAAAACGTGGCAGAAAGGTTAGGCTTACTATAGAAATTGTACGCACTGCACTACTTTAACTTCACTTGAACTTAAATTTCACGTTCACTTTAACTCCTAGGTTACACTCAACTGAGGACAAATTAGTAATGAGTACGGTAAAGTTTAAGTACTCCGACCTTGGCATACTGGGCCGGGTTTTCTTGTATCTGCTGCCAATATTAGGTCTCTCCAAGATTACGGTTGAGGATGAGGTAAGCAGTGGATATAATACTGAAATAGTTGACATAGTTGAAATAGTTGAGATAGTTGAAATAGTTGAGATATTTAGTACAGTTGAAGAAGTTGGATAACATGAGATTGTCAAAATTGGCGTAAGATCATTTAGCTTTCGGAAGTTTTTAAAATCAGCCTAACACGCATTTCGTATGAATCTCAGATTATTGTTAAATCATAAGCTTTGTTATTTTGGGAACTTTACCAGATCTTTTCCCAGCACATCACGATGACAAACCTTACGATACTGAACGTTATACTTAAAGTGGTGGGGGACACTCACGAGCAGACCCTTACTGTCTACCTACTGTTACTTCAGGTCACATTCCATTTTAACCACTGTTGTTAAGTAAACAATGTATTTACAGATTGGGAAATTTAGAAATATGTAAATGGTTTGTTAGGAGTTGTGCCTCACAAATATCATGGTCTTAAATTCTCCGACTGATGTTTTCTTGCGTGTAACGTTAACTATTTCACAGGTTTTCTGTAGTATGGTTGCCTTTTTGATCAGGTATCAGCTAGTGCATCTCTTCTACGATGAATAATTAGGAGGAGACCACGCGATCGTAAATTCCTGAAATATCTTTGAACCGGGTTACTTGGCTGGTCAGTGGTCAGATAGTTAGGGACAGATAGTGGAGCTTTGATTCGCGCGGCTGACACAAATTATTGCTTGGGTGTCGTTAGTGTTCCGTATAAAATATTCTCGTTTAAAAAAATAATGTGCGGATGTAAGCACATTTTGATAAGATTTTCTGTGGTTAATAATGGTATTTGATTAATACTGACACTGTTAAACGTGATTTTTATTTTAGGGGTATAAACGCATCTATAATCACTATTTATTTATACAGAATGTTTTATATGCACAAATTTAACATATCTAATTATAGTTAATATCCGCTATCTATTATACACTTTTCAGTGATAATAGTATTCGGATGAATGATTTGGTTTAAACGGATTTTATATTGTTCTGAAATTTAATATTTTTATTTTATGAATCGTCTACTGTAAACTCTATTTTACTATTTGTCGCTTATTTGTTGTTTTGAATTTAAATGTAAACCAATAATATGCCTATGACGGTTATTGGTAATTTTCTGTGAATAACACTTTCATTGATTTTGAATGTGGTCAGGGACTTTGTTTAATTAAAATACCAATTTTCCAACTGGCTGGTTGGTCCCGATCTGAAATCTTAATTTTATGTCTTCTTTTGCAATATTTATAGTTTGTTATACGCCTTATTCAAATTGTTATTATCACCTATAGAAGAAAAATGTGGTACAGTTTCGATTAAATTGTAATTGCATTCTTACTAGTCTTGATTTGGGAGCTTCGTCTTTTATTTTCGTAATTCTGAAATTATCCAACTCACAATCTCCCCAATTCACAATCGTAATATTTAAATAATCCTCCATACTATTAATAACACTAAGTGTTAAGGGCAATAGAACTGAGTATATTATATAATCACCTTTGTCATGTAGATTGCAGATGGGCATTATTACATATCAAGATGTGGTTCTGTAAACATAATACTGCCGTACCAATATTACCTTATCGGACTTCATTTGAACGGACATTGAAGCGTTCATTTTCATATCCGTTCAACTAACGTCCGAATAAAATCTTACAACATACAAATCCGTCCTTAATCAAATTATGCTGTGCTAACAGTAATACTGAATCTTTCGCCCACAATATTATTATATACGGTCGCAGTATTCTGGCTATGAACAATGAACAGAACTTGTATTGGTATGGTCCATGAAACCGTAGCCCTTGCTAAATAAAACCACTCAACCAGTATATCCTTGATCGGGATCCCAGGCTAGTATGTTCAGGGTTGCCGGGGGACCTTAAAAACGGCAATTTTGGGCAAAAAACCTTAAAAAAGACGTGAAAAACGGGCAAATTTTCGGTTTTTTAAGGTTCCATACCTAAATTATACCTAGCTTGATGTAGATCTAAATCGATTTTCCGGATTAGTAAAATTTTTTTGAAATTATACCTAGCTTGATGTAGATCTGATAAGATTTTCTGAAATCATACCTAGCTCGGTGTAGATCTGATTGGATATTCTGAAATTATACCTAGCTCTGTGTAGACCTGATAAGATTTTCTGAAATTATACCTAGCTCGGTGTAGATCTAATTGGGTTTTTCTGAAATTATAATTAGCTCGGTGTAGATCTAATTGGGTTTTTCTGAAATTATACCTAGCTTGTTGTAGATCTAATTGGGTTTTTCTGAAATTATACTTAGCTTGTTGTAGATCTAATTGGGGTTTTCTGAAATTATACCTAGCTCGTTTTTCTGAAATTATACCTTCCCCCTTAGGCTTAAGATATGATTGCAATTTCTGTAGCGGAAAACCTTAAAAAACCTTAAATTTAACTGTTTTTGGTTTTGGACCTTAAAAATGGGTCAAAAGGGGCCTTAAAAGACGTGAAAAAACCTGATAAATGACTCTCAAAAATGCCAGCAACCCTTGTATCACGTGGTGACCCCCACTGTCGCTTCACTATAGTAGAGTTTCTACGATACAGGGGGAGCCGCGCACTCGTGCGCGGCGGGTCATACAACGTATGACAAGGCAACCCTGAGTATGTTCATCATTCATACACATTCGGCGCAATGACAGGCTCTGGCTGAGCGCCGCCGCGCGCCCAGCTAGTAATGAGTAATGAAATGGCCGAGGAACAGTAAATGCAGAGGTTAAATCTAATGAGTGAAAAGTTACCTGGATGGAGTCTAAAGAGTCAAGCTGTTTGAAGGTCGATCCTAGAGACCATAGTTGAGAGTCAAAAGTCGAGAACCGACGGCCCGGAGTTGTAGGTTTACAACCTGCCAGGACGCGCGCCGAGTTGGACTCGTATGGAACAGATATTTTACGAGTATCACCCGTTAAGCTTGACGGATGTTACTCGTCTAAGTTTCTTCGAAGTAGCGCGCGCCGCTTTCTTCTCGAAACGTCTGGCCCGATGGCAAGAGCTACGAAGTAGCGTGCGCCGGGCCAGATCATTAACAATGGTCAACCGTTAAGCCTCATTGACAATTGAGTGCTGTGAGAAGCCTCATTGAGTGCGCGGCGCGGCACAGTAACGCATCGCGCTACAACCATAATCCATATATAATAACACTATAATTTAACTATACTAATAAATTTTATAAATTCATAAAGTAATAAATATATTATTTTCTTGATTGACAATGTCAACCCATCGAGATCGTTGATAGACGATGCAAAGCAAAAATGCGACGATGCGAAGCAAGAATGCTAGTTTGCGCGGCGCATCGAAGCGGCGAAGTCCTCCAAACTATTTTCCTAATTTTTTACTTATATTTATTTATATTATAAATTAATTATATATATTTAGACTTCGTGTATATTATTTTTTGACATACGTTGCATGCCACTTTTCGCGCCGCCGAAGGATACGAAACATGTATCAAATTATTTTTCGAAAACCACTTGGCCCTTTTTTCTTTGGAAAAATTCTGGCAACCCTGAACCCCGTACAAGTAGGAGGTGCACCATAAAAATAAACTTGCTCGGATTTTAAAAATTTTTGTACCATTGTTTTCTAGAGACTGTGAGAATTTTCACAATACCAAATTTGTTTTACCTTTTTGGAAAGATCAGTGAGTTTTGCCTAGGTGCCATATTTGATGGTGCGCGGCTTTTGGAGCAAAATTAGCTGTAAAAGTCGCGTAATTTGACCAAATTTGACCAAATTCGTTGATTTTTGTCGTATTATTTGGATATATCTTCAGTTCCTTGAATGAGATCATTCTGAAAATTGGTGACGACCTTCCAATAGGGCTTTTACAACTGTCCGAAAAATTTGGTGGATATCGGAGTTGATCTAGTGATCAAAATGGGGCAAAATACGCTGCTTTTAGCTGTAACATAATGTTTGATGGTTGGATATGCTTTAAACTTTTCGGACACATTTCCTGTAAGTCTATGAGTAAGCTTACCAATTTTTGTTGCAATCGGAGGTCGGGAAGAATACTTAATATCTATTTGTTTGAAGAAAATTGTGCTGGCCGAAATTAGCGCTAAAAAACCATCCCACAGTCGGCACGCGCGGCTCACTGTCGATGGCGCACTACCTAGTACAAGGGGGTGGTCTGAAAATCCAATATTTTTGCGGACATCTAACTAAGCGCTTTTACTAAATCGCTCGCCCAAATTTTAAGAAAATTCTTGTGAAAAGGCACTTTGGGCATGGAAATGATCAGAATCGGTGTATTTTTGGACGCTGATTCCGAATCACCCCCCATGACGTAGGGTTAAAATGCTTCCCTGGAGAGTTATCAGTTATGGGCAAAAAACCGTTTTGGTCACGTGACAGGCTAGTAAAATACGAATTCGATTGTTTAGGGCTCGTGTTAGGGTTAGGGTTGTGGTAAGGGTTATGGTTACCTTCGGGGTTATGGTTAGGGTTAGGGTTGGGATAAGGGTTTATGTAAAACCGTTTTGTACGGCTGCAAAACCATAAAAACCAAAGTCACGTGAAATTTTTGGGCGAGCGAATTAGTAAAAGCCCTAGCTAAGTAGATTGTAAATAGCCCCGGCCCGCCCCCAATAGTAATACCAATTTTCCAACTGGCCGGTTGGTCCTGATCTGAAATCTTAATTTTATGGCCATGTCTTCTTTTCCAATATTTATAATTTGTCAATTAGGGTTAAGTTTGACCCAGTTTCCTGAGCTAAGCTAAGGGGTCGCGGTCGTTCACATATTACGTAATCAATATTTTATCAATTTTTACCCCCCCCCCCAATTTGGGTGGAAGATAAATAAAATAAAATACATATTTCAATTTGCTAGTAAAATAAAGAATCCCTCCGATTAGACTTCGAACAAAACTAACAGAGAAGATCAAGAGGCAATTTTGAAATAAATTCGCTAATGTCAATCATCAATACCCTTATTAATATTATGGCGATGAACTTTCCATTTCCATTTCTGTACTGATATTCAAAAATCCGCTCCAAATTATACGCAAGCAGCATATTTAACAGACAAACAGCTAAATCTGCTCATCTGCAGTGACTTTATACACCGTAATGTGTTGTGGGGGTGCAGCCCCCTGTTGAGAAGGCTCAGGCGGGGGAGGGAGGAGCGCCTTTTTCAGGTACCCCATTCTCAGGGAATTCAACAGTAGACCAATCGTTATTCCTGAAGTGAAAAAAAGTTTAGTACAGGATGACATCATGTTCTACTTCTAGCTCTATAATTGCAATCCTTTATTGATTGAAAGACATTAGCATTATTAAGACTATAAGACTTATATGAAAGTAGACTTGAGATTTAAATTTGAAACTGAGTTAGACACGGTATGTAAAACCACCTGGCAAGTAGACAATGTTGGAGTTAACTGGTGTCTCAGCCGCGAAACTCCACACAAACACGGCTATATGACAAACTAAGTAGCACAGGACCCCCGCCGTGTAGTTTTTTAACAGAAACGTTTCGTTGTCTATTCGGGTGTCTGTTAACATTGCTGCTTTGATAAACAATGCCGGGATGATGAAGTTCGTCATCCCTGATTAAAATGAAAAGTTGTGTTATTTTTAAGTTATTTCATTAGTGTTGTTTTGTCAAACTTTCAGTTGGCTACTTGAAAAAGAAGAATTGATATTATAATATAAAAAAGTATATACCACATATTTACACGTATACAAATATTCCTCTTCAAGTGAGTTCAATTCTACTTTTAAAAAGTTACCAAAAGTGCCGTCCAGGACACCAGAGCAGGGAGCAGCGTCCCCAAACAGTGGAACTCGAAACGAGGACAGGCTTGGTTCTCTGGCGTCAGGAAAGAAAAGGGAGCCAGGCTGAGAAGTATAAAGTTTATAAATACAGGAAATATCCTCAGTTGGGTTAAATTCTCGTAATAAAATTTAAAATATACTTGCAAAACACATAAAATGGTAATACTTACATTAATTATCCTATTAATTAATGTAATGATTAATTATAACTTACAGATAAAGTGTCTGGTATCCTGGCTTGTATAGTGACGATGTCAACAAAGTTAGGAGGCGTGCCTGGAGACACAGTCGGGAGGATGTATCGCTGTAGAACTGAGAAAAACACTGCTACAAACGTGAACACGACACACTGAAAGTGAAAGTGAAAGTAAAGGATATGTTTTTATCAAGTTGTAATCTACTGATTAGTTAGTTTCAATAAATTTAAAAGCAAATTACAACAATGTGTATTATACAAAGCACAATGCACCTTATCGGACCTTATCTGACCTGACGTAATTTTGAACGGACATAATTTTGAACGGACATAATCTTGAACGGACATTAAAATAAACGCTCGAAGGCATTCCTTTAATTATCTAATTTAACGTCCTTGTCGGACTTTATTTGAACGGACATTAAAATGTACGCTAGGGTCTCCAGCGTCAAATTAATGTCCGTTCAAATTAAGTCCGATAAGGTATGAAGACTCTGTTTACCTTCAGGATACAGTTAACTGGAGCGTATCTAACTGGTACCACACCAACACAAGCAAACATCAGTAACTGCAGGGGCCAGATGTTTTGCACTGATCTGTAGTTCATCCAGAGGCCGAATATTACCATTCCGCCCGTTATCACTGATAACCTCTGGAGTTATATCGCAGTTAGTTATCTATAAATTCAGTTAGTTTATTATTTTAGCTAAAGACTTATTTTTTAATCTTTGCTCCCCACTTTTTAATGTCAGTTAGTTATCATATATGCTACATTCCAAACCGAAATAGGGGGTTGAAACAAGCCGGTAAGTTTCTAATTCTAACAAAAACAAAAATTAACATTCATAGAAAATATCACCTCGACCATCCAGTAAGTTTTATTCACTACTCTGATGTACTTGTCTGCCAGGAACACGATGATTGGGAAGACAACATGGTAAAACCCGACCACCGCCACCATGGTGAGGAAGAGCGCGAAAAAAGGTTGAAAAAGGAGAGGTCGCATGAAATATCCTGGAATGAATAATATGGGATCATAAAATGCTTTATTTTATCACAAACAAAGTTTAAAGCGAAAGATAGTTCCTTTGTTCACTAATCATGAAACTAAATCAATACTCGTGCATCCTAAATTATCACTCAGAAACCAACCTCCAAAAGAAATGGTCAGTATCACCATAAAGAAGACAAGGAAAGCAATGAGGAAAGCCCGGGTTTGCGTGAAAGGTAACCTCTCCAGGGGAGATGTAGCTGCATGCCGCTCAACTACTTGTCTCCCGGCCTCAACCAACACGGCACAGGTGGATACCTGCAGTGGAAATATACGTAAGAGATGAAGACAATAAACAAATGCCATGGAAAAGCATACTACTCACGTGACGTCACAACTACTCACGTGACGTCACAACTACTCACGTGACGTCACAAGAGATGAAGACAATAAACAAATACCATGGAAAAGAGCTTCTAAAAATACCCACCTTTAATATCAGCATCACTCTATGTTAGGGACTTTTTATTATCGATTGTATGCTAAAGACTAGCCGAGTGCTTTTTCCAGGTGGACTAAAGTGTAAAATCCTCCACTCCAAAAAAACAAAATAACTTACGTAAATAAGAGAGAAGAAGTACATGACTATAGCCCCCCAATAAAGCCTCCCAAACTGCACCGGGCGCACTACCACCGTATCGTTGTCTCGTAGGGCCGAGCCTATGTCACCTCGTACCTACACAGTTAGCTTGATCAGCGTACGGTCATTTAATAAAAAGTTTCTTGCAGTTAGTTAGATATAAAACGAATACCAAGACATTTCAAGTTATTGTAGAGTTGTAGGTGTATACTTGTACTACACTAACCTGCATAACGCTAGTAAAATAGCTTGCATTCAGTTTCTCCGTCAGGGAAATGGAAAATGGTGATTTTACGAACACGTGACTCTCCTGAGGTAGGTTATTCTTTTTAATTTTACACGGAAATCGAATTATTTCTTAATGCTGGACACTTAATAATTAATTTACCTAGTTATTTTGTTATCATAATAAATATAAATGATATAAATAGGGTAATAAAAGGCTCTTCAGAAAAAAGGTAATAATAAAGAAGCACTTCAGACCTAACTTTAATTAAACTATAACATATCTTCCTTAGTCTTACCACTGAAATATCTGAAATATCACATGATTGATCAATCAGAGTGGCAGGTATGATGTTATCAGTTACACGATCAGTTCCTGTAATTATACTGTATCCAGTGGTGGAGATGTTGCGCGAACAGACCCGGATTCTGTAGCTTTGATGTGACGAAGGAGAAAACCTGGGATTTGAACTTATCAAACTTAACATAAATAATTGCATATAAAGTAGCATAGATAATGACATTATCATTATTATTATATCATTATTATTATATCGGGTCTCAATAAGAGGTCTCGACTTATTATTGTTATTATTATAGTGAGTCACTAAAAACATCTTTTTGTTGTTTTAAAAAATATTTTTAAAAGATGAAAATGCGAAATATGTACCTGTGTTGAGTCCACGATGTGGTCCTGTACCCAACACAGAACTGTTGCTCTCCCACTTTTGCCACTGCGAACTTGACTTCTTCTGCAGAGAGGAGGGGGGACAGGAGGGTCATTAGCACCAATCCTATCAGCATCACTAAGGGTGGGAATATGATTCACAGTAAGTCGTTGTATAACGAGTTTTTGAAATGTTGAGTCTACTCCAATTACATATGCAAAATTACGAAAATTACAAAAATACGAAGTTCAATTAGTTCTCATGGTTTTAGTTTCATCTCAATGCGTGTACTGACAATGCATCAAGATAAAATGTAACTGCGAAACTCCATATTACATAATTAAATGTTCACAAAAGTCCCAAAATTAACCGAAACTTATAAACTGTTGGAAACAGACCGCTAAGAGAAAAGAAGGTACAAATTGAGTTATTTTGTCCTTATTGAAGTGAACATGAAGTGTGCAGCCAACAATATTTCAGTGAAACAATGAAACTCTAAACCTAGAAAAAGCGGCAAAGCACTCTGCGCTCATTTCCCGTGTTGACAGAGCCACAAAACGCAAGTGTGTGTGTGTGTGTGTGTGTGTGTGTGTGTGTGTGTGTGTGTGTGTGTGTGTGTGTGTGTGTGTGTGTGTGTGTGTGTGTGTGTGTGTGTGTGTGTGTGTGTGTGTGTGTGTGTGTGTGTGTGTGTGTGTGTGTGTGTGTGTGTGTGTGTGTGTGTGTGTGTGTGTGTGTGTGTGTGTGTGTGTGTGTGTGTGTGTGTGTGTGTGTGTGTGTGTGTGTGTGTGTGTGTTTATTATTATAGAGTTATAGCAATTATAGCCAATACATATTATACAAGTTGCATCTGCTGTTGATCAGATCCTTGGATGAGTGCCAAGTTTTCTATAAATTTATTATCAACAGTTGTTTTGTTAGGAAATAGTTTGGTTTCTGCAAAAAATAGATTGTTGGGATCGTAATTTATGTTATATTCTTTTTCCAAGTCATAGCACTGAAAACAGTACGGTCTACAAAACAGCTTGAAAATAGCGTTCTCGCAAATAATATAGCAAATTAGGTTTTACTGAAGAGTGGACAATATCAGACAACGTTTGTTCATTTACAGCCGACGAAATTGTACCTATCTATTAATCTATATACGAAATGTCGAAATTGTATCTATTAATGTATAACACGGTTGCAAAAAACTGACAAATTATAAAGCTCAAAATTGAAATACACTAAAGCTCAGCTTTTCGCGTCTGTGCAATAATTGGAGGTATATTTTATTTCCAAACTGTAATTTATAACCACGGCTGAGTAATCAACGAGCAGCAATAATTTATATAAATCGAAGGAAATCATTTTATATCCTTATATATTATTTGGTTCCCTGTATAACTCAAATGGAAAAGTGTTTTAACCAGGCTCCTAGTTACACCCTAGTTACATGCCACACCCTAGTTACACCCTAGTTACACCCTAGTTACACCCTAGTTACACCCTAGTTACATGCCAGACCCTAGCTACACCCTAGCTACACCCTAGTTACACCCTAGTTACACCCTAGGTACACCCTAGTTACACCCTAGTTACACCCTAGTTACACCCTAGTTACACCTTAGTTACACCCTAGTTACATGCCAGACCCTAGTTACACCCTAGCTACACCCTAGTTACACCCTAGTTACACCCTAGTTACACCCTAGTTACACCCTAGTTACACCCTATTTACATGCCACACCCTAGTTACACCCTAGTTACACCCTAGTTACACCCTAGTTACACCCTAGTTACACCCTAGTTACACCCTAGTTACACCCTAGTTACACCCTAGTTACACCCTAGTTACATCCTAGTTACACCCTAGTTACATGCCAGACCCTAGTTACACCCTAGTTACACCCTAGTTACATGCCACACCCTAGTTACACCCTAGTTACACCCTAGTTACATGCCACACCCTAGTTACACCCTAGTTACACCCTAGTTACACCCTAGTTACATGACACACCCTAGTTACACCCTAGTTACATGCCACACCCTAGTTACACCCTAGTTACACCCTAGTTACACCCTAGTTACACCCTAGTTACATGCCACACCCTAGTTACACCCTAGTTACACCCTAGTTACATGCCACACCCTAGTTACACCCTAGTTACATGCCAGACCCTAGTTACACCCTAGTTACACCCTAGTTACACCCTAGTTACATGCCACACCCTAGTTACACCCTAGTTACACCCTAGTTACATGCCACACCCTAGTTACACCCTAGTTACATGCCACACCCTAGTTACACCCTAGTTACACCCTAGTTACATGCCACACCCTAGTTACATCCTAGTTACACCCTAGTTACAATTACATGCCACATCCTATTCCTAGTTAAGTAGTTATATAACGCGAAAGTTTCACTTCTAAATGAAAAGCTCTTAAATATTAAAGGATGTTTAATTGAACAAGAAAGGGATTCAAAGGGATTTAAAGGGATTTAAAGGGATTCAAAGGGATTTAAAGGGATTTAAAGGGATTTAAAGGGATTTAAATTACAAGGTTTATTAAAGCTTAACCATCTTCCATTTTAACAAACCAATAATATGTCTACACGCATAACCATCACGATCTTGCAGAGTAAAGGATCGCAAGAAACAAGAAAGGAAGAAACGTTTAACTGGAGAATTGACTAATGTAACGATATCCTGCAAAATACAAATTACCCGGTAAACTCATTGCAAACCATTATTCTGCTTGTAACCAACATCCACAGTAGCCATGCAACGGTAGCTATGCAACGGTAACCATGCAACGGTAGCCATGGAACTGCTCAACCTGTGCGAGGACTACATTTAAAAGGGAACAAAGGGTACTAGTACTAATTGTTGGTGTATATAAACGGGGCAAATGCTCCCTGCAGAGGGTACGCTGTGGTCGGGACTTGGAATGAAGATTTCCATGTATAACTGTGACGTACATTTTGTTGTAATTGGGGGGGGGGGGGGGGGGGGGGGGGGGTTAGCATTTTAACTGGAAAATTAAGGACACTTAATGGGTATGAATATGAGGCGGGTATAATGCCTCCTTTTTTCCCTCAAATTTTGCAGAATAAGAAGATGTTCCTTAACAAATTTTAGTACTAATCGCACGTTAGATTTAAGCAGTGAGCGGCACATGAAATACATGGATGCGAATAACTGACGAGTTGGTACTTAGCAGACATTCATCTATTCTAAACAACCAAACTTAAGTTTAGGGGTGATAATGCTGAATCCTCCCCCTACCCCCCCCCCCCCCGCTTCCTACACCCCTGCTCCCCCACTTATACTAACCTAACGCCAGGGTGTTATATTATAACATATGAAACAGCCCCTTATACCTTACAAGTAAAACACAAATTATCACTAGAAGGAAGGAATTAAGAAGCGTGAAGCACAATTTGGTCGCTGCCTCGAATCGCACGAGAAAAACATTAATTGATTCAATAAGAAAGTTGTGTGAACGCCGATTAGGGTCATTTACAACTTTGAAGATAAGGTACGAGTTAAGACTGGAAATGTGTGACTAACCATTTCAGGGTAGGATCAAAGTGACTCTGTATTGAGAGAGGCAGACATGGCGGGTTTTTTAGACGCCTCCCCACACAGAGAAAACTCTGTATACTGTAAAGACTAGCTGTAAGATGACTGTGAGTAGGATTACTGTCCAAGAGAGAACGTTCTACAACCTTTTCCTGTATCATGAAAATTTCTAACTGATCCGGGCTAGTCTCTAGGGGTAAAATAACTCGCATGGCCCGTATCGCAGAGATAAGTCGTAACGCTAGTTTGTGAAAGATTTTCAATATCATTAATTAAGCTTTTTACGGAGCAGAGGATTGTAAATTTCCCTCTTAAATTGCAGATGAAATATTTGTTTTGTGAATTGCGAAGCAGGGTCTTAGAAGTTAGAATCGTTGGCAAATTGTACATTACCTGGGGACCCCAGGCTATTATGTTCATAAACATAATAGAATAAAGATTCGGCGGAATGACAGGCTGAGCGCCGCCCAGTAAATTGTACACAACAATATCGCGGCGGCATTTTAGTGATATGCTTAAAATAAATGATTAATTAATAATGACAAGTTTCAAATAGTTGTTTAATACCCCAATAGTTGGTTCGTGGGGTGCCCCACGAACCATCAGTTTAACTAAAGTTCAAAAATAAGAATAATTGGTTGTTTGTCGATTTTTTGGTATGAAATAATCATTGCACAATTTAGGACCTGTTCATGGTGACTTCATAGACCATGTTAATACCTACCGAAGCTGTAATCCAATCATCATTGTAATTCATTTTAGGGTGGCTGAATTTAATTATAACTACAAGCTTGAGATCGCAAATCAGTTGGTGCAATCTTACTTATATATATATAAAGCGAGATGATGTAAATAATATATTGGTATTGTTTTATACATATCATGGAACGGATCGTTTGCCCGCCAATTTGATTTGTTTCAATTGTTCGAATTATATACATATATCATATATATATGGTAACATATTATGTATATATCTGTTACCATTTTACTGACACCACGGCAACAACTTTAACACGACAAAAACCGTAAAAGATATAAAACTGAAACTTTTTTGACTGGGTCAACTGCCTTATAATGGCTTTCAAATCAGCATGAAAAGAAATTAAAATTTTAGTGTCGAAAATTTAATGGACCCCCAAGTGGTGTCAAAAACGCGAATTCGGCAATGAGCACCCGTCTGAGCATTACAGATTAAGCTGCAATGCATTACTCAGGAATTTCAATAACATAAGATCTAGAGTCTGCGACTCTGTATCACTAAGTTCTTCAGTACGCTGTTCGATTTCTTTTTCATCCTTTTTCGACTTAACCATTTCCGTCGGTACGGCGTAGTTTATTTCGATATGATCCTTCAGCCGTTTCAACAGAACATGTTGGGATGGATCGATTAAAAATGTAATATGTCCAAGAGGAGCTCTAGCCTCTAACCCTTTAAGTGCAATAGGACTTTGGTACAGTTTTGTGCTTCGTAGTTTCACAACGGTTTTTCCTCTCAACAAAGTAGTTCAGCAGTAGGAACGGTGATGTCATTATATTAATTATAAACAATGTAAGCCAAATAATATTCATGTCATATAATATGCTCTACT